ATATCGGCAACAGAATCAGCTATGCCATACATACTGACACAGTGCCGAATCAAAGGTTATCAGTGATTATTATCGTAATGTAGCATGTGCCTTGAGGATACGGAATATGATTTGATCAACGGAGTGATAAACATCTGTGTTTGGTGATAGTGTGAAAGATACCCACGAATCTATTTCTGTTGTGTTTGGAATCATATGCATTAATGCAAACCTTCAATAATTATAACTATACTGTCCCTATCACTGCTCGCGTGGATCGATGGTCAGGATGTCAATCACTGGCTTTGTTTGGTCCAGACTCGAATATTTACAGACCGAAGTCATATTCTTGGAATATTGCCGAGTGCGGCGTTCAAAAACAAACAACAAAACAACACATGACCAAATAGAATGATGATAGTTACACACGAAACACTCGCTACACTGCTATGACGTTCAAAGGTGTACAGTGCACACGAATCGAGAGCAGGTTTGAATCAAAGGGAGGCCACTCTAGTTTTACTCAGGTAAAGCATGGTTTCCTATTCAGCTTGATTAGAAGGCTCTAGGAAATGGTAACAGTGTAGTGTGTGTGTGTGCGTGTGCGTGTGTGTAAGGGGGGGGGGGGGGGGGGGGGGGGGGGGGGCTTTTATTTCCTCCAGATGACAGGGTACATCGCCGTGTAGTTGAATAAACAATAAATGTAGCCCACCAGTGTGTGAGTCTACTGTAGCCTGAAGTTTTCAGTAGATTTTAGAGAATGGACTAGTAACAGGTGATCCTACTGGACCGAAAGACTACACAGGCTATGGATAAGTAGCTAATATCGCAGACCGACACACAGAGTACTGGGAGTAGGTATAGTCGATATATTCATTCAGTCTTGGCAGTACACGCTGTTATGAATAAACCGTATTTCCTCTTTTCATTTCGAGGCCCGGCGTCTGATCTGTTTAATGCAGGCACATTGCCAACTCACTACCGTACCGAATTCAACAGTCACACAAAGGTGCATTTGCAGGAAACGGTCATTAGTAAGCAGAGGGAGTAATCATTATATACCGTTAATGTGATATAGAAATTATTAAGGACATCGAATGAGGGACCAGGCCTCTAATAGAGGCCCGGCTTCTATTTTTTTCACAGGCCGTGTATCGAAGTCAAGGCATCTAATAGAGGAAATACGGTACGTACAATTCATGAAAGTCAGTGGTGTTTTGTTTGGGGTTTTGTCATCCATAAACCTGTGCGAGTGAGTGAGTACGGTTTTACGCCGCTTTTCGCAATATTTCAGCTTTATCACGGGGTAGCTCGAGGACACCAAAAATGGTCTTCACGCATTATACCCACAGTTGTACAGTTAATCCATAAGATCGTCATCTTCCCGTGGCAAGGGTGTTAACTGCGTGTAAAAGTGCAGTTTCCACCCTTGCCCTACTAGGCTGGAATTTCTGGGCTCGATCGTAGCGCCATCAGTGGCTATTACGAGTTATGCCCCTTGTATGTCCCTCCTATTGACAAATCAGATTCCACCTCTCATATCACTTGCAATTGCTTCAACGGAATTGGCGGATCCCATTGAAGACGATCTCATCGATAATCAAGATCCTTATTGTAATAAAACGGGTCTTATTTCGCGTGCATCAAATCACGTAAGCATCTTGATTAAAAACATAAAAAGATTTGGAATAAATATTTATGTTCACGCTTAATTGACGGCACACATGTTTTGCAAATCCTGCAATCTGCACGGCGGTTTACGAACCGGACGTCGAATTCGTTACGCGGTTTTGATTGAACTATGCATAGACTCGTTAGTCCAGCCAAAATATAATGTTACAATGGCATAGTGCTACACAACTAGCACATAAAAGTGTTTCTTTTCTTGTGAGCAAGAAATACGTACTTTGCAAATCTTCTCAGAACATAGAGGTTGCAGCTTTATAATTGTTTTACTTTATATACATGTGTAATAATATTGAAGAAGTACATGTTCCCTCAAATTTGAGTAAAATGGGCACTGTAGACAATATATATATATATATATATATATATATACGTTCTGGCCTTGGTATTTCATAATGATTCCCGTTTCTACCAATACATTATAACTAGAACTAAACCTCACAGATGTTATTTGATAGATGGCTACACCAATACACTGGCTTAGATGGACAGAGCAAACCTATTCCAGCCTAGAATAACATTCTAGATTATTATTCCATGTTTGTTGACAGATATCTTTACCTCTTTGCTTAAAACAATATAAAGGAATTTACATTTCCAACACCCTGCTGTAGCCAGACTTCGTCGAAACCATGTGTATATAACAAAGATTTAAAACTAGCAGCCAAACAGGCTTTACCAATATCTGTACTGAAAATCATTTGAATCTTTCACTTATTTTTCACTCATTTTCTTATTTTTATCAAAATAAAAAATTAACAACATTTTTAATTCCGTTATACAGTTTTAATTTATTTGTACAAAATACTGTCATGCCCACTTAAATTTGTTTTATAATAAATGTTTTCAACGTTTCAAAATTCCACTTTTTAAATGTACAGAATTGATTAAATCTATTTCCGAAGTAACTCCCAAAGTACATAAACTGACGACCAAATGAAACTATAACTGTCAGTTTTATTTTATCAAATATTTGTTTTTCAATTGAAAATATCTTAAGGTAGCGAATCTAGCGATATTATCTCCAAAACATTAACTGTACTGGCCCTTAGCACTGAAAGAACATTCTACATGTTATAATTTGAAAAATATAATTTCACATAACACTTTTTTAAAATTAAGAAAAAAATATTCTCATAACTGCTGATCGTCTTGGACATATTATCTTTGAAAATCAATAGATTTGCTTTTTTGAACAAATTTACAACATTTCAAATATGTTAGGGGTCATGTGGCTGCAAGTTCATTTCTTACCCCAGTTTTCATTGAACCAATATATTTTTACACAAAAATACGCAGCCACAGGTTAATTTTTACAGACTATTGCAGGAATGACTGATGGTTAAAGGACATAATCAAATGTAACAACAGTTCTTTCAATCGTCAATTGCATCAAATAACAAACTCGGTATACCCCTCAGTTATATATATTTTAATGTAAGCAGCTGAACGTTCGTTCGGCCATCCCGCAGTCTCGTTGACGGCAAAAATCATGGAATCTATCTACATGACTAAAGCACTTCACTTATGAAGTAATCATAATCTAGCAATATACGTGTAAATCTATAGATGGCACGCACATACTCTCTCTAGTGACTGGTTCTCTGTCAAAGATACGTATTCTCTTTGTATCGACAATTGCACCCAGTTCAGTCAACAAAGACATGTGAATATACCAACACGCGTCTCGTGGCGTCGATTTGTCACGTTATTGCCACCCATACAGCTGTCATTCGGAAAATGACCTTCACTCAAAAGCTGTCACTTGTTATTGAGTACGGATCTAAGCGTATATAAAAGCGGTTTTGTGTGACCGTATACCCCCATAACAAACTATCAAGTGTTATTGAAAGCAGTAGCAGTGTATAACAGACTATAGCAACAGCCTAAAGGGGAATCCATTCATGTGACATGTTAACAGATATACCCCTGAGTTTCTAAGTTTCAAAAGTATATCACACAGCTGATCACTAAACTGGTGAGATGTTCATACACACTATTGTACAGCCGTTACAAGAAAGATCACTTTCCATCATCTAAATCAATTTGAAATGCAATACAATACAATACAATACAATACATGATATAAAAGTGACAATTATCTTAATACCTTTGAAATTACTTCTGTAACGTGAATTAATCTGATATGGTATTTTCAAAATTGTACATTAAAAAATCGCTAATAGATATCACCTGCTATTATATCCGCTACAGAACAATGTCATAACAATAGGGAAAAATATGATCACGGTATTTCAGCTATTGATTTTAGTTAATTACATTCATAAATCAAATATAAACCACGGTGACAGGTACTTGTTCCCGCCATTAGGTCGTTTATTGTATACGGTTACAGTTGTACCCACCCCACTCAGAGGGGGTATATAAGTGTTCGCAGCAAACAATGGATCGAGCGTATCCTATGTATTAAGCGTATCAGATTACAGATCTGAATAATGTGCACTAAATGAACACCTCGCCTCAAACACCAGAAATCGATCGGAGCAATGCTAATTGTGGTGAGACGTTATTGGGGCAACTATAGGACCGTATAACATTTGGAAATATTTATGAAAATGACTTTAGCATACATCGTTAGTCTGTCAATGCTTATTTTAGTGCATTTATGACGCATGGCGATTTTGATGATGGCGATGGTCGTTACAAGAAAGAATCGTATTTATTTATCAGTGATTTTTATCATAATATTATGAGGATCATACTTATTTCTTCAAATGTATTACTGCAGATATTTCTGTCCATGGTGATGCCAATGAACATTAAAAACGGTCAGAACATCGTTTTGTTCAGGTCGTTAGGAAAATTATTCGTCTGGACGAGTGGCGTGACATTTACACTACTGAGTAACTCGGGTATAATTTCAAATAAATACCATCAGATTCAAGGTATTATTGACATGACAATATCTAAGACATTTGTGTTTTTACGATGTCCTTTGTTGATTACCACGATTTATTGAGAGTGAAAATGTTCAATTACTCATGGTGTGGTATATGTCTACTGTTTTGGCTTTACATCGTTCTTTGATGCTGAATTGCAAGAATAATAGTTAATCAAAATGAAAATAATACATATCTTTTAGTGATAGATTAATGTACTATTTCATTCATGTGTAAAATTAAATCATACCCTACTGTTAACTAAATATTACCTATTTAATTATATTTATTATTTAATCAAGCAGGCGAACAAAATAATAAATCATAATAAAAATGAAAATAGGAAAGGTTTTACCAGCACAAATAGTGTGCGCATTTTTGTAAGTCAACATGTCAAAATACTTTGACAAACTTACTGAAGCAAAATATACTTACCAGTCAGGATTGAACGCTGTTGTGATTGTCAACGGACCCCATAAACTCTCTTGACTCCGATAGTGTCGAATATATGTCGAACTACCATACAGGCCGAATATATATTCTTCACTTCTGGTTTTTATGTCTATTTTATCTCCAGTATTTCGAGGGTCCTATGTGTCCCTCTGTCCTGTGTCAACAATCGATCTCGTGGCGTCGCGCGTTGCTATGGGTTGCTAAGACGTTTCACCCTTATTACGTTGAAGAGTTCTAAAACACAGCCGCCATTAATGTGCTAACTTTGAGTGAGAAGTTGACTAAAGACTGTAAGAAATATCGCTCGCTAATGTTTAAGTATGTCTAATATCCGCCGCTAATGAGTCTAGAGATGATTATACTTTAGTTTATCATGAATAATTCATGTAGGATCGATGCGATCGATTTCCTGTCGATCACACAACTGTATAGATCAACCGCGAGTTGATCGGCACGTACTGCAGTATTTAACTATTTAGCAGGGGGTCTTATATTGACTCCAGGGTCTTAACTCCACAATCTTAGTTTCCTATCTACGCTGATATTGTGTTAATAACAGAAATCATTTTGGAGATGTGATAAATGAGTATTCCATGACGACAGTGTTCGACAAGCGCCTCTCCGTAGGCCCGTGTCGGGTAGATCGATCTCGTGTCGGGCCCCTAGTTTCAAAGTTGTATAGATCTAGGTCTTTATGGCCTGCGGTAAGTTTATGTGCCGATCTTTTTGTCACATTTAGATGAAGTTTGAAATGAGGGCTAGGGCCTGCAGCTTCCCGAGTCCGTGGGTCCTTATGGCATGTTCTTTATTTCAAAATGACTGACAAGTTAAGTAGTCATTAAAACTATTCAACTTTTGATAGGGATAATCAGATATAATCTATGTCATATTTAATCATACACGATATTAACTTTTTTAGACGGGGGGTGGGGCGCAAGTATTTGTACAAGTACCACTTGTCCCTAACTTGATTCAAATAAAACTGTTTTCTATACCCCCCCCCTCCCCCCCCGCTGGCTAGGGCACTGATATGGTAATGAGAATATGTTTTGGGTATAATACCCCTATCAAAAGTAGAGTAGTATATTCCAAGGCAAAAGTACATTTATTATAACTTTTTTTATATTTGAAAAAATATGATAATAATGGTGATATGTATGGCTTCGCAGTCTGATCACTCGTCTAACTGTGCAAGAAAACATTTGTTAAGACTCGACGCCATTTTATGTTGAGAGTCATGCCGTCATATTTCCCTTCAAAGCCGCCGAACATCGCTCATGGTGATCGACAGTAACCAGAGGCATTCCCAATAACCTGGAAAGAAAATGACATTTGAAATTTGGAGTCTAGATTTCAGTTTTCAAAAAAGCAGAATTTTGTTAGCAATACCATGGAAACCATCACCAGCCCACATTAAACACGGTTTCATTACAAATCCTCAAAGAAAACGTTATGGATTATGCGCGCCTCGAAAATCACAATGTCCTCACACTTTTTCCTGAATCTGTTCGTGAGTGTGAACAAGTGCTTGTGTCCTCAGTCGATCCATAGCATCCATCATGGTGTAGACGTATATTGCTTTACGACAACCGTATGTTGGTTTCGATCTATGGAAATGGTTATCACCTGCCTGAAACCAAATATATGTGTTAAGCATTAAATAAGAACCGCGATCGTTAAAGTTCCCGTGTTGGATATAGTCTCCTATCACCGGTGCACATGTACTTTTCATCACCAGGTGGGGCGTTCTGAAAATCAAGTTAAACTAACGATAAATATACAGATAATCTTATTTTTAAATATTGATTAAAAAATGCGAAGGCAAAAATATCAGTGAATTACATATGGCAAAAAAGTGAACTAATACATACAAAAACGATTTCATGTATGTGCATAAATATAACAATAAATCTTTTATACACTATATATATGATATAAAGTTATCACCAACAGAGATGAGGAAGTAAAACGATAGAATTGAGTTGTTTGTTTCTTACAATACATACTAGGGACATGTGTTGATCATGAACGGTCTGAGATAAAATTTTAAAATGTAAAACATAACAAAATTAATCATGAGAAAATTATGTTTGATTTAAAGTACGCTTATTTCAGGATAATACCTGCCTGTTTGGGGAATGCCCTGATAAGAAACAGGCAACTTCCACATTATACATTTCTGTGCATGGAATTGTATTTTCGGAATTGGGCGCAGTCAATTCCATTTTATTAAAAATACTTATATATTAAAAATTAAAATTTAATAAATAAAAAAACCAATAGATTGGTCACATTTGCAACATTCACTTTTCGGTAACAGTATTCAGTGTCAGGGAAGATCGATCAATTATATTTTCTCAAGCTCCAGTGTTTTGGTGCAACTTTGCAATGGTGTGAACGTATTTCCACATCATGGGTTTCGGGGTCAACATGATCCCGAAAAATAATGTAGTATTTCAGGAGTTTCAAACATAGTGACCTACTGAATGAGAATGGCTGTTTGTTGTTTGACGCCGCACTCGAACATTCAAGATATATATGACGACCGCCTGTAGATTAAGTCTTGACCAGACAACCCATTGATTGATATTGGGAGCAACGATCCATGCAATAAACCAAGTAACCAAGCCTGACCTACCGACCCATGTGGTCGCCTCTTACGACCAACATTGGTTATAACTGTAATTGTCACGTTGAAATGGGATGATTAAGAACGGCCAAATTGTATTATACTGTACAAATTACAGAATAATTGGACTGCCAATAAATTAAGTGAATCATATATTATCGATGAAAAATATAAAGGTTTGCGTTTTTCTAAAGCCAGTTTGTTCACTCAAATCAACTAATGTTTTGTTAACTTATGAATATTCATAAACCGTTGGTTTATTCAAGGACTAGTACCGTGACAAGACAATGGAGTGACTGATGTTCACACCTTGCTCAGTCACTTGGGCTCTCATTCAACTGTCGTCTGCCCAGTTTCTTCAACAGCAGACAGATGATGCGGCAATTGAAACCCTCCGGGAGACTAAAAGAATATCTTCTGTGTGCTATTTGTTACACTGGCTGTGAAATAAATGACGCCGGGAGACAGTTGTTTGGAAATTAAGATGACTAACTCGGAGACTGGAAGACGCGGAGAGTATTATTGTCACTGACAGAAAACTAAAAGACAGTAATCAATGTAGCTCAAGTCATGGAAATGCCATGGTGGCAATAAGGTGTATATTTAGCCTTAATGAGGTCCATGTAATATCAATAATGTTCGATGTTGTCCATTCCGTGAAGAAATACATATTAGATATGGTTTATTACAAAATGAGAATGTACCTATATATGTACGTAGAGAGTGGGGTGTGTAAGATGGCGACTCATTCAATCTGAATTATACGAGAAACATTTGTTACTAAATATGGTCACTATCATGTATTGGATACAAGTATATGGCCCTACATGTTAAATCTGTAGGTGTATATAGATGAACACACGGATATGTACATAACTTATACGACATATCGTATATACGCGACCTAAGCGTCTGTCTCCGTATTCGGCTATGCAGTGATGATCAACCGTATAAGGTCCTATACATTTTACTCGGAATTTGCGCATTTAAAGCCATTTGTTTCATTGGATAATGAGCTTATTTCAAACCAATACGAAAATAACAGTAACTTATCCAAACTAGCTGCGTGCAACTTCCCACGTTGTCGGGGTATGATGACACGCAGTCAACCAAGTTACCGTGCCTGCCCGCCTTCCGACAATATTGGTTGGTTAATGATTAGTGAGTGAGTTGGGTTTAACGCCGCTTTTTACAATATTCCAGCTATATCACGGCGTGTCAGCTTAATGTGGGAGGAAAGCCCGAAGTGATGCAGGTCTCAGACGTTTATCACTTCGGTGAAACCCACGAGCACGGGTATGGTGCTGACAAACATAGAAACATAATTGGGGCGAACCGGGATTCGAACCCACAATCATGTTTCTGGCGTGCCCAAGGGACGCAACTCTGTGCAGCGAATCGCGGCGCCTTAGCCGACTGGGCCATCCGTGCTCCCTGGTTAATGATTAAACGATGTTACGAAATAGAATTTTATAAACTATGGTGTTGTTTTAAAAGTTTCCAAAGCTGAGTTTAGGAATGCCAAAGTAATACCTTTATATGCAACAGGCATTTACAAATAATAATTATATTTTCTGGTTTGGAAATTACATTTTCCTTTCGCCATGCTCACCCTTCTGCGTCGTGTTCTTTTGGCCTTGAAACCCCCGAAAACATAACTACCAGGTGCTTTGTCGGTGAAACATGTTCTGGGCTCCACGACCAGAATAGTCTTGACAAGACAACCTCTTGCTTTACCGGAAATATTCAAGATGTCTTCACTAACATGTTTCCACACACACGCCCCAAAACACCAATCCTTAAAAAAGAAAGAATTTAGGTGGAAATAACATTCAGAGGACCTGACATTGGTCGTGGAATGTTATCAATGATGGTTAAAGCAACAGGATTTTCAATGATAATTTTAAATATCTTAATAACATTAACATGGCTTGCTTAGAACTTTTTACGGAAAATGACAGAAGTCGTCCCTCCCATGAAGTACATCTGGAGACAGTGTGGCTTGCTTGTGCACAGCTCAATACAAGGGACATAACTCCTGCTGCCGCGATAAATAATACCAGTGTTCTATTTAAACTGTTGTCTCCGAAGTCTTAAGTTCGAAACCGGACATATCTAATGTTCGAGACATGCAATGTAAATAACATACAAACACATTTTTCAGCAATACAGAAATTCTTTATTACTGTTCAGCTAAAATATCGTTCCACACCAAAACATTGAATTTAAAAAATAATAGTCTGGGAAACAAACTAATAATTTAAACAATTTTGTGTTTTGAGTTAATACTAAGTCACATTTACCACTCGCCTGTGAATCTTGACATTCAATATAGGAAGCTGCCTTATGAAAACATAACCTGGCATTACTTGTGTTTATGAAATTAATAATTAATTAATAATGTAGAAAATTACCACAGATAACATTTCTGTAATATCAAATAATTTATTTTTGGTTCCTAAAGGATTAGAAAAAGATGTATTGCTAAATATGTTTAAAAAAAGCAGAAAATCAGTTTCAACCGGTACCACATGTAAGTCTAAATGCATATTTCATTGATCTTATATTATTCATGTATAACACATAAGTATTTAAATGAATGAATATTCAAATCAACCAAAAATACAAACTCAATATTTCCTTTCATCTAGAATAAATATCTAGTAACACATTTTCACACCTCTAATGAAGTAAAATAAGATTGTGCGTGCACTGTGTATTCAAAACAAACAATAAACATCCACATAACAAATGCCTACCTACAACAAAGCACCAAAAGCCATATAATCACACACTCCTAAATTTCAACACCTAATCCACTGATTACAAGTCGATTTATCATTATGAAACAAGGCCGTTAAAACACTGCAAAAACCCATTCAAGTTGGCTTCCTGAGGCAAGAGAGTTAACTGACTGTAAAAGTCCAGTTTCCACCCTTGCCGAACTAGGCTGGAATTTCTGGGCTCAATCGTAGTGCCACCAGTGGCTATTATGAGATATTTTCCCTTTTAAATCTCTCCTATTGGCCAATCAGATTCCACCTCTCATATCACTTTCATTTGCTTCAACCAAACTTGCGGCGCCCAGTGAAGACAATTTGATCGATAACCAAGATCTTTGTTGTAATAAAACGGGTCTTACTGTGCACAGTGCATCAAATCATGTTATCACCTTGTTTAAAAAAATTAAAAGATTTGGAATATATATGTTGAGGCAGTACACATTCCTTGCAAATCCTGCAATCGAACCGAAATCTTCATGGCAGTTTACAAACTGGATGTTGCTTTTGTTACGCGAATTTGATTGACTATGCATAGACTCCTTAGTCGACCAAAATATAACTCCATAATTCCAGCCTAGTTTGGCAAGGATGGAAACTTGACTTTTATAGTCAGTTAACCCTTTTGCCTCGGGAAGATGGCAGGCTTGCTGAACTGAAGACAGATCATTGCCATAACAACATCCAATTGTTTTATTTGACTTCACTTACTCAAACCACTTATAGCTGGAATATTGCTGAAGTTTTCAGAAAAACTCAAACAAACTTACTCTAAACAACACAATTAACTTGATTTACATTTTTTTTTAAACTGTTCAGACTTCAAAATAGACATAATTTTCATACAAATAAAAAAAAGAAGAATAAATTTGTGTCAACTGTCCTGAACTTTTCACATGTAATCGTTTACAAAACCATTCTGTGTCGCAAAAATTCCCCCCAGCACACTAATGATAAATAAAAACTAATTATACCTGTTCCAAGTGACCTCATCATTTTCTTTATATACTACTAAAAAAGTTAAGGACCTTCTGATTCTTTCAAGTTACTATTACATATATGCCATGACAGATCAACTATAGTAATATGAGAGAATTGGGGGGTCCTTAACTTATTTTGAGTAGTTCATTTCATAACCCATCCTGTTATACTCACTTATCACACTTATATATATTCTCACTTCAACATGTAGAAGCTAGAGACTTGTGCATAGGAGTAGAAAGGCCTTTTGTATATTTCTGTTTTACACATGTCATCACCATTCAAAATGTACACACCAAATACCATCCTGTTAGCTGCCAGGAGCAACCAATTGTCATAAAAATACTGCAATATCCATATCAATATGCCTGTGTAACCATACATTCCAAATATGACACTTTCTAATAAAACACATATGCAACTTTTTACAGATTTCCCATGTCTCTTGCAGCGCCAGAATTTATAAAAGCTAAAAGTGCACTTGGCAATGCCACAATTCTACAGAGGAAACCTGCAATTCTAATCAACCTTTAAGTGCACATTCAAGTGTGCATACACTGTTAATAGCTCATGCTGGACAATGTCAATATAATTGATCCACACATCCGTAACTTAATACTGTAGTTTAGACAAATGCACAATTCCACAACAATATGTTTTCTGTTTGCAGCATGTACTTACCAAGTACAGTTTATACCTACCAGTACCGTTAACTGTATTATACAATATCATATAACACCTTAACAATATTTATAGAGTGAGTGTGTGAGTGAGTATGGTTTTATGCCGTTTTTTTTTAGCAATATCACAACGGGGCGACACCAGAAATAGGCTTCACACATTGTTCCCATGTGGGGATTCAAAATACTTATGGAATACAATATCACTTAATTAAGGAACTATGTCATGGCTTTTTTGTGAGCTAAGACATTGTGAGATATGGATCCATATGCAAGATATGTCTTTCTTTTCTGAAAACATAAAATTGAAATTTTGATGGGGTGAAAGAACACTGGTAGAAAGCCTGGTTTGGGGACTAAGAATAGTAAGAAAATTCATCATCATATAAAAATTGTCATTCTTGTCAAGTTACATCCATGTTCATCTAACCATTTGACCTGGTTACACTGACATTTTCACTCTAGATCTGGGCAATGTTCCATAAAGCAATCTTAGTGCTAAGATGATCATAATAACCATTCTTTAACATAGGTTTACGACAGTCACAGCACCAAGATTGCTTTGAGGAACCGGACCCTGGGTACTAATGAAAGCACAAACAGAATCATGTCACTCGATGACTTTCTCTCTATATTCTGCTACCCTGGAATGTTCTATCAGTATCCTTGCAAATCCCTCTATCAGTATCCTTGCAAATCCCTTTATTAGTGTAACGACTTGATTAACATATACAGATATACCTGCTGCAACAGTGTTAGTACACATACCCCTGAGGGTAGCTTCAGTAGTCAGATCATTGAATTAAGGCACATATAGTAATGGCTGAACACAACCAGGGCCCACCTGCACAAAGCAATTTTAGCACCAAGAGTATTACACGTCTATGTTAAAATCTGGGAGTTAGTCTTAGCGCTAAGATCACTTAGTGCATGTCGGTCGAGGAGTTATTGACGTCTTGATGGCATAAGACGGTCTACAGCTGTAGAGCAGGTAAAACCTTTCCAGTGCATGTTCCAAAGCCGACACGATAACCTTCACCTTCACAGTAACCTGGAACCAGAGGAAAGAATGGTCATGATTAGATATCTTCATACAAGATACTATCTCAACATGTGACTATTGTAGTGGGGTTCTTAACACTGCATTGAAATATTTCATTCATATAATCATTGATTAAAAAAATAAAAGTACTGGTTCTCAGGCATACTTTTGGAAATATATCGCGGGCAGGCAGGCGGGCGCCATTCTTTTTTTTTGCTTGTTCAAACTAGTATGTAACCAACTAAACAGTTGTGAACCATCAACGTGGGAAAGGGCCTCCCTACATAAACAAGCATACAAACTCCTACTGCTGCCAGGACCATAACATGAGATGTGCAGTAAATCAATGCACATGTAAAGGGAAGTAACTGCTTGCAATTTTGGATCGCATTGTTTTATAAGTATTAGGATTTTTTCTTTAAATGGAAATAAAAACGAAACGTGAGGCTAACTTTATTATGATTCAGGCAGTGTCTGAGAACCAAGACTATAAGTTTTTTAGCCTTTGGTGAAATCACAAGCATGGGTTACAGTGCTATAGACCAAGTTAGTGAATGTCCTTGAATGCAGCTGTGGGCAACATTTCAGACATATGACAGCAGCCTGAAGATAATCAAGTCTGGAAGAGGTAAACCAGGGACTGAAAACATGAGCTGCGATCCTTGCCATTGTTTGTTTGGTGTTTAACACCACATTCAGCAATATTACAGCTATACAACAACGGCCTGTAAATAATCAAATGTGGATCAGACAATCCAGTAATTCATATTTTGAGCAATGATCCCAATTAACCAGATCGTCAAGTCTGGAACATCATATCCATTTGGTCGTCTCTTATAACCAGCACGGTTAGGTGGGGACCTTTTCTAACCCGGAATCCCTACAGGAACACTGGGAAAAGGACACCATTAGCCAGGCTACAGAGTGTGAAACCCATCCACATTAGTTGCCTCTTATAACCAGCAGTGGGTAGCTGGGAACCTAGACCAAGGTGGAAGACAAAGGGTCATAACCTGGGAGACGGAATTCGTTTCGTTTGTTGTTTAACACCGCACTCAGCAGTATTCCTGCTATATGACGGCGGTCTGTAAATAAGGTCCCCAGCTGGACCAGACGATCCAGTGATGGACATCATAAGCATCGATCCACGAAATTGGGATACGACCAAGTCAGTGAGCCTGACCACCCGATCCTCTTAGTCGCCAGCTCTTACGACAAGCATAGTCGCCTTTTACGGCAAGCATGGGTTGCTGAAGATCTATTCTACCCCGGATCTTCACGGGTGAGACGGGATTCAAACCAAGGATCAGCGGATCCTTGTATGGCTAGTGAACAGTCACGCCAGGCAGAGTTAGTCTGATGTACCTGTGAGAATAGCCTCATCTCCATCCTGCAGGAATTTGCGTGTGATTCCGTTTCCCAGATCCACTGGCTTCGTCCCCTTCCAGCATAACTCCAGGAAACTTCCATACGAATCTGGAGTCTAGAGACAAACAAATGAAATAATAAATACTTGTTAATCTCATTAAAATCAGATTATAGTTCTCTCTATTGCTAAACAAAGATCAAAGATCTCAAAACGACCTTTCATCCGACCAATCAAAGCGTCGCTTACCAGATCATGAAAGTGACAGTCGAAATGTGTTTTATAATCATGCAACCTCGAAAACGTTAACACGGGGTATTCTGAACAACAGTTACGGCCCTTAAACTGATTCTGTCAAAATTATCATCTTTTTCTCGTTTGCGTGGGATAAACATTTGAACATAGGAGGCGTTGCCATACAATCGCAACGACATAAAAGACATTCCGGAATGTTCGATTGATCAGTTTTCAAAATTTTAATCGAGAACTCTCTGAAATGGAAGTCGCCAGGTTGAAACGAGTGCCGTAAAGCTCGAGAAAGCTGCTTTCTTATTGGCTGATGTCGACTTCTTGTTAGTCGTTTCAGTGGAAGGTCAAGGTTCGCGAAAGGTCGTTCTGATGTGACCCTAATGAGATGTCCTCAGATCTTTGTTTAGCGGCGGCAGCGAGAACTTAGACCTGATTGAGATTGATACATGTTGGACATAAATGTAGTGCATGATGTCCTTTTGAGATTATTAATTTTAAACTGAATGATCCTGTTAAGAACATGCTGTTAAAATAGCCTGCTTCCTGTGGTTCTAAACTACATCAGCTAGGAGTACCATGTTCTCTGACAATTCCCAATGACAATAAATCTCAAATTCTTAGTTTGGAACCAAGGCCACTGAGAAGTCCCAAAGTTCAAACCTTTCTGGTGACCCCTCTTTGAAAGTGTAGGGCTCTGAGGACACATTAAATACAGAACTTTGGTGCCTTACTGCCAAGCCAAGAACTGAAACCTATTTCTCCCTGGGATCACCTCATGGGCAGTAAGATGACGCAGTAATCAGTAAACTGACCTCGCCACTGATGGTCCCCGAGGCCATGAGGTCGCCTGCATTGACGTTGCAGCCAGTGATGGTGTGGTGGGCAAGCTGCTGCTTCATTGACCAGTACACGTACTGAAACATAACATTCCAAGTGATTTTATGTACGGGAGCGAGTCAATGTGACCACTGCCAGCTATATCAATGTGTCCTGCATAAATATTTAAATAAGTCTGGGGCAGGCATACATTGCTTGACAGCATGATGAACAATCCAGCCCGTGAGAGTCTGACATAATCAGCCAATTCACAAATTGTGTTTTGATCCTGACCTGATACTTGTTTTAGTTTGCTCTGACAACAATCTACAGAGGCAGTAGACCTACCTGACCTGGGACCCTGAGAGTGTGACTAAAATGGGGAGCTGGGGAGATTGGGACCTACCTGACCTGGAATCCCAACAAGGAGACTAGCATGGGGAGCTGGTGACCTAACCTGACCTGGAACCCTGAGCATATGGGTATGTGGACCTAACTGATCTAGAACCCTGAGCATATGGGGCTGTGGACCTAACTGATCTAGAACCCTGAGCATATGGGTATGTGGACCTAACTGATCTAGAACCCTGAGAGAGTGACTAGCATGGAGAGCTGGGACCTACCTGACCTATAACCCTGAGCATATGGGGCTGTGGACCTAACTGATCTAGAACCCTGAGAGAGTGACTAGCATGGAGAGCTGGGACCTACCTGACCTAGAACCCTGAGCATATGGGGCTGTGGACCTAACTGATCTAGAACCCTGAGAGAGTGACTAGTATGGAGAGCTGGGACCTACCTGACCTAGAACCCTGAGCATATGGGGCTGTGGACCATCTGATCTGGAACCCTGAGCATATGGGGCTGTGGACCATCTGATCTGGAACCCTGAGAGGGTGACTAGCATGGGCAGCTGGGGAGATAGGGACCTACCTGACCTGGAATCCCAACAAGGCCACTAGCATGGGGAGCTGGGGACCTAACCTGATCTAGAATGATCTAGATCTAATGATGTCATAAGAGCATATTTCAGTTTATGGCCAGGTTATTTAACGTTCATGCATGCCAATGGACACACATACACAACAGAGCCAGGAAGTTTATATAGTTTGTTCATATGGGCTTGTTGGCAAGTGAAGTATTGGGAGTGCCAATTCTTTTCAATGTCTTTTCAGTGTCAAATCAAAGAAGCGGCATACTCCTATTTGGCAAATCATTACTCCAATAACACTGTCTGATATGAAAGAGGAGCCTTTGTACCTTGAAATTACTGCGGGCCACAGTTGCTGGCTTGGGTAAACCTTCAACTGAAAGAAACAAACATTTCACAATTTAATCATTTCATTTGCAGTGCACACATTTACAAGTGAGCAAAGCACAACACTGCTTGAAGTAGCTTGCAGACAGATCTTGACAAACAATACCAAACATGGCTTCGGCTTTTGGACACGTGTAAACACAACTTTGTATGTATGTATTTTCCTGATGGCAGTGAATACAAAAACAAACAAAAAACATATTTTGGGTGGTTTCTTAAATAGCTAGGCATAATCCAACTTGAAAATTCTAAATGCCCCAAAACAATCACTGGAACTTGAGCACAAAATACATGAACATGACTATCAAGAAACAAACAAATGATGAGGCTCATTTATATACTACGCAAAAGATGTTGAAGAACACCCAGTTCTTCCATACTACTATGATTAATTTGTTATGACAGAATGAAAGAATCTTGCATTCTTTAACTTTTTTTTGAGTAGTACATATCCCCTGTCAACTATGTAGCAGTGGGATTAATTATCTCACAATTGAGCATGACTTCAAGGTTGATGTTGAAGGCGAAGGGGTCGTCATGTTGAAGATAGGGCAGGGGAGTCGGATCCTGAAACATCATCAAGTGCACACCATCAACTCAATCTTAGACTACTTGGTCTGGCAGGGCATCAAGTACAACCCCCATTTTGCATGCTAGTTCAATTACCAGTCGTTCCAAACGCCTAGAATTTTTCAGACACAATTTGTATTTAGCAACTCACTCGAGTCAGGTCTAAAATGTGAAATGCTTTCATATTTAACACCACACGTAGCACTATTCCAAACATAGGACCACTGGATCCATTTAGCCCCCTTGAACAACAAGCATAAGTTGCTAGGAATGTATTTTAACCCAGAATACCAAAGGTGATTCAGCAAATGGTATAAAACTTGTGCATTTAGTTACTGTGCTCTACTTCTAACTTACACTCGGTGACTTAAAGGACTGTGTGTCAACATAACACACCAATGACATCAACAACTGGTTTGTCTGCCCCAGACTGGATTATTTACAGGCCGATGTGAATTACCTTCAATATTCCTGATTGCAGCATAAAACCATAAACAAACAAACTATGATATAAGAAAAATATCAACTTCAGTTTTACCTGAGGCTGATTGGGCACCCTGAAAGGCGCCAAGGCGTCCATGGTGACAACCCATGGGGAGATGCTGGTGCCATGGTTCTTCCCAAGGAATGGCCCAAGAGGAACGTACTCCCACTTCTGTATATCCCGAGCTACGGACAGGAAAACATTATCAAAACTTTCTCAGTTCTTACAAATATCAACTAACATGAGAAAACCTCATAAAGGAGCACTCCTACTACATGCTTCATGAGTACTGTATATGATCGTAATTAAGCCGAATTTTGAGAATGGGGTTGGCTTATGTATGGGTAACACTTTCATCAAACTCTTTTTCTATTGGTCAAAATACTACATCATATCGCTTCAGGTGAATGAACAATGCTACAACAAACTTTGTCAATGAAAATGACAAATATTGTGATTTACTTTTCAATTTTATTTTTAGTTAAGCTTGCCATTGTTTTATATGCAGGGATAAGATTACAGTATGTCTCATATGTTACAAAGTGGAATATATTCTAAATCTATTTACCTAAAAGCAGCAGCAGCCGCACCCACTTCACCCACCCATCCCCAGTAAATTTCATTTGGAATTAACAATGTAAATAGCCGGAGGTTTCAAATGTTAATATTACTGTGCAAGATATACTCAACAACACACGCAAATCTGAAAACAGATCAAAGTTATTGAGATAAATATTGATCAAACTTAATCTATACATGTATTATGAATGCAGAATGCCACATTTTTCAGACTGTCACTTAGAACAAAAAGATAGTTACAAAAAAATATTCACATGCAGTTAAACATACAGATTTTCAGGTTTCAAATCGCATTAACATTTTCCAACCAATCAGATTGCAGCATACATGCCCATTCACTTTACAATAACTGATAAAGCATCCACATGCTATCTCACCACTCCAGTCATTCATGACCACCATCCCGAAGATGTGATCCTCCGTCTTGCTGATGGGGATAGGTTCTCCAAGCTTGTTGGACGGGCCACCCACAAAGAAAGCCATCTCCAGCTCAATGTCCATCAGCTTACACGGACCAAACACTGGCGGCTTAGCTGCTCAAACAAAACAGTAACATGTTCAAAATCATGCAGCTAAACTATATTTTCCTGGAACTGCTGTAGACACTGAAATATGGGTAATCAGGGTAATGGACCATGTTTTAAGTAATGTTAGGTTTTTGTTAGTTTTCGAAAATTATTAGCAATATGAGAGCATGTGACACAAAGAATGGGCTCCTAAGTTCATACATGGATATTTTGTGAGTAAGTGAGTGAGTGAGTGAGTGAGTGAGTGAGTGAGTGAGTGAGTGAGTGAGTGAGTGAGTGAGTGAGTGAGTGAGTGAGTGAGTGAGTGAGTATGGTTTACGCCGCTTTTAGCAATATTCCAGCAATATCACGGTGGGGGACACCAGAAATGGGCTTCACACATTGTACCCATGTCGGGAATCGAACCCAGGTCTTTGGCGTGACGAGCGAACACTTTAACCACTAGGCTACCCGACTGCCCCGGGATATGTTGTGAATCAAACCCCAGTTTTAGTTGTGATGAGCTTATGCTTCAACCACCAGGCGACCCGACAACCCCAACAGAACAGAAGAATAAATCATCATTTACAAAGCTTAGCCAAATGTCCTACTTTGACTAGTGTGTAAGAGTGTTTGTTGGTTTGTTGTTTAATGCCGCACTCAGCAATATTCCAACTGTATGACAGTCTTCTGTAAATAATCGAGTCTGGACCAGACAATCCAGGGACTGACATCCTGTGCATCTATCCACGCCATTGGGATACGATGACATGCATAAACCAAGTCAGCGAGCCAGACCACCTGATCCCATTAGTCGCCTCTTACGACAAGCACAGTCGCCTTTTACGGCAAGCATGGGTTGCTAAAGACCCATTCTACCCCGGATCTTCACGGGCATCGTGTAAGGGAGAAGAAGTGAGTATGGTTTTATGTCTCTTTTAGTACCATTTCAGCAATATCAGGGTAGGCAACACCAGAAATGGACTTTACAGATTGTACCCATGTGGGAAACACAACCAGGACTCCTGTGTGACAAACGAATACTTTAACCACTAAGCTACCCCCCACTGCCTCTATATAGTGGACCCGTGAAGATCCGGGGTAGAATAGGTCTTCAGCAACCCATGCTTGCAGTAAAAGGCGACTAACAGGATCAGGTGGTCAGGCTCGCTGACTTAGTTGATGCATGTCATCGATCCCAATTGTGTGGATTGATGCTCATGATATTAATCACTGGATTGTCTGGTCCAGACTTGATTATTTACAGACTGCCGCCATATAGCTGGAATATTGCTCAGTGCGGCGTTAAACCTACCAACCAACCAACCCTATATAGTCAACAGAGAACCTCTGCTAAAAACATTAAAGAAAACAGTAACAACCTGAACAAAGATCAGTAATAAGTGAAGGGAAGATACACTATTTCCCTACTCACTATCATCAGGCCTTGTTTGACCATTGGGTCGTCTGATGGGAGTCCCTGACACAACCACTGAGGAAGCTCGGCCGTGATAACCAACTGGAAGGTGTGTCCTGTAACCATGGCAACATGAAGAGCATGAATATGCGTGTAACAACATCTATCAAAGATCAAATAAAACGCATCACATGAAATATTGAGTAAGCAAAAGTTTCCATCTCTATCAATATGCACAACATCATAAACATGATAAACATTCTTTGTGAAGAAGTGAAATTTCAAAACAGGTGATGTTTTCACAAATGATACAGTTTCAGCTTTTATGTACTTCAGCAGGAGTTTGATGGTCGTGTTAACATCTACAAGACTCACCAGTTGGGCATGAGAGCATTTTCTGGACCTCGGAACATGACGCCGACATTGTATGCATGGTACTTGGAAGAGTAGAAGTCGGTGTAGTCACCTGATGCACAGAAACACAAATACATGACAGCTTTCGGTAGTGTTCTAGGGAGATTATTAATAGACAGGTCTGGACAATCCAGCGATTGATATGAAGAGCTACCATCCATGCCTTCGTGTATGTTGAAAATCCATCACCCAATTCACAGAGCCCGACTACTGATCCATTAAGTTGCATTGTACAACAAGCATAGGTAGCTGGGGAGCAATTCTGTATCCCAATGTAGACTACATAGTTCACAGCTCACAACCAATGCTTGCTGTAAAAGACGACTATGCTTGTCATAAGAGGCGACAAATGGGATCGAGTGGTCAGGCTCACTGACTTGGTTGATGCATGTCATCGTATCCAAATTGCGTGGATCAATGCTCATGAAGTCAATCGGTGGATTGTCTGGTCTAGACTCGATTATTTACAGACCGCCGTCACATAGCTGGAATATTGCTGAGTGCAGCGTTAAAAAACAAAGAAAGAAAAAAACCCAACATATTTATCATGTTTATCAGCAAAAATGAATTTCCATTGTTCCTGACGATTATGATGATAGCACAGGTTCAGTGTAACATTGAATGTCAACAAGAGATCAGCTACATGAATACTAACATGCTAAATGAAACAAAATGTATTTGAATATACTTTGTGGCTATGAACGTACAACTGGGTGCTAGTATTCAGGTGTATTAATACTTTATTAATATATACGGTATATCGCTGTGTATAAGGCAAGTTTTTCGTACCTAGAATTAGGGGCTTTCAAGGGTGGTCGCCGTATACGTGGGGTCGCTTTATAGACGGCGATATACGGTAGTGTTTGCAGCTTTAACTGGGCATATATTTATCTACAAACTACACTATGTCTACAAACACATAAATAATTCAAAAAGTTATTAAAAATGCCATTAGTTACCAATCTTGGCTGGTAGATGCATTGTAGCTTGACTTTGGGGGACAAACGCTCTGAAAAATCAAAATTCACAATGTCATCATGTCATGTAACAGTTTCAGTTGGAGCTACATGTACTTGAAACTAAGGCAACAACAAAGTAATTATTAATACTTCATCCAAATCTAAAATTAATCAAGATAATGTAAGATTGGTAGCATTTTATTGTTCATAATTTATCAGTCATTAAAAATAACTTTCCAGCCATAAAGCCAGGCCGGCAAATCTATTAAATTGCCAGTTTGTTTAAAAAGTTGCAAGTCTGGATAAAGCTCTGTACTCTCATCAAAATATTGTAAATTTTACATTAGATTGTATATTATATTCTTATCCTTTCTCACACTAAGCATTTCTTCCTTCTTCTTTCAATCCTTATGTGGAAACGTCCTAAAACAAAGTTTCCAGCTTCCAAAAACATTTTGCCCGAACACGTCCCAGCAACACATGTTGCATTTTCCTTTGTCTGATGGTACTTAGTACTGTGAGGCAGGGTGTATTGTAGTGTAGTGTGGAGGGCGGGGATGAAAACCTAATTTATTATGGCATTATTATGTTCATCTAAAAGCAGCTACATTAAGAATCTCTTCTAAACTTGTTGTGACATTTAAGTGATATGTCCAACTGTTACATACTTTGTTGAATATGGCTGGATTGATTTCTGCAATAATTTTGTGAACAGAAAGTCATGAACAATCCACCTACTTCGCTCTAAGTTCGGCATTGTCTCGCAGCACGCCATCAGACACCGAGAGAATCTTCTGTAGAACACCTCTTGCTTCTTGCCACGCTGCTCGACCCAAGGCCATAAAACTGTTCAGAGTTGGCTGTCAATAATGAAATACATAAACTCAATTGTCTACACTAAACCTAGAATAACCCATGTCAAATTTCACTTAATGCAGACCCGTGAGAGGCAACTAACGGGATCGGGTGGTCAGACTCGCTGACTTGGTTGATGCATGTCATCGTATCCCAATTGCATAGATTGATACTCATGACATCAATCACTGGATTGTCAGGTTCAGACTCAATTATTTACAGACCGCCATCATAAAGCTGGAATATTGCTAAATGTGACATTAAAAAAACCCAGAACTTTAATGCACACTAACCAAAAATTAGTCTAGGAATTAAAGCAATATACAGAGGTAGATACCACTGGTCATATATATGTAGGGGAGACAGGGGTGCTTTGGGACACGGGGTGCATTGGGACACCCCCAAAAACTGCTATTTATAGGTTTACAATCACATAATCATTTACACTAAAGGAAGTGACATCATACACCGTAGCACTTTTTGTAGCAGGGGTGGAAGCAGCGCCTTTTGACAGAAGTTTGATAAGTTAAATGTAATTTTGGCACTTCATTGTAAAATTGAGACCCCTATTATTGAAGCTTTACATGACAAAGTGTTCCATCTTTCAGTTGATGTATGAGTTTTATTCAAAACAGTGATATCTTAAAGGTATTCTGCCAAGAGATGAAGGTCATTTTGTCATGTGGTTATGTCATACGCATTGGGACACCCTGACAGGGGTGCATTGGGACATGTCCCAATGCACCCCAAACATGTGATCCTAAATGACCAGCATGTAATCATCATTATGAATTCAAAATGTAATTACTTTGACATTTGCTTTGGATTTGTTTCTTGAACTTTGCTGAAATATCAATGAAAGATACTTTTCTAGTAGGTTCAATAACTGCATGGTCTCCTTGACCTTCCAGTGGAGCTTATTGAGCTGATCTGCAGATATCGTCCAATCAAAGAATTAGTTATACATTTAATAAAGTGTTGCTTTGTGAAGTTATAGTCCTGAAGAATAACTAGTTATATACAGACAAGATCTATCCAAATTTTAAAGTTCTGTCGCCATTTCTTTGTTAATGTCCCAATCCCCCCCAGTATGTGTCCCAATGCACCCCAACGTGGGGTGCATTGGGACGAAAAAAATATATTTTTAAAATCACTGTGTCTCAGTTAATTTCATGTTTGTGAAATAATTTGTTTGTTCAGTGATTCATTATTAAAGTGTTGATTAGAAGATGTGTCTATTTCTTTATGAATCCATTTCAAGTGGGAAATGGACTGGATAATACAAATTTTGTCCCAATGCACCCCGGTCTCCCCTACACCCCCTCAGTGGTCTAGTGGTAGAGCGTCTGCCCAGAGAGGAAGGCCCAGGGTTCATTCCCGGGACGCCTAATACCAAAAGACGTTAAAAGTTGGTACTTGTTGTTACCCTGTCTGGCGCTCTGACTTATGGGGCTTAAACAAAGACTGGTTGGCTCGGAGTCAGTATACTGTTTCTGAGTGGGGTATTCATGTTAAACTGCGGCATGGTACCTCAGTGGGCTAACACTATAAATCCGCATCAGTCCGACTAGTACAAGCAGCCACACACACTCACGTGCATGCATGTCACAATATAAGTGCAATAATCTTGGATGCGACGTTAAACCCCACCTCACCTCACCTCACCTCACCTCATATGTAACCTAACTGAACTGGGGGAGAAAACAACTAGTCTTTCTAAATTTTCACTAGTCTCAGATTAACAGAGTAGTGGTCATGTCTATGCCTGATACAGATCTGGGAAATGAACCAGTGTTAGCTCAAAACTTTCTTACAATTCACACTTAGCAAGTGATCAGTATTAATCTTACCTCATCAAAGACAGCCTGTTGAGACTTGAGTTCTGCTCCATCGAAGAAATGTTTTACCTGAGTCAGGTCTAATATCTGGTCACCAATAGCAACACCAATTCTGTTGCGTGGCTGGAAGATGTCCAATATACAAAACATAAATACAGAGTGTTCACCACAACTATAAGGAAAAAGTAGGAAATATTTCGCGAGACTATGGAAAACAAGATAAGACGTGAATGTTATTTTGATAACGATTAACAAGATGAGCACCAAAGCAGCAGGTGTTACTTGAACAAAGTTATTTGCAGGCAGAAACTGAAGTCTGTGTTTCAATGATTATTTTATACAAGCATTTTGAATATCACATGGGTAGACATCATTGGTCAGATCCAAATACATTGTAGTTCCCAACTCATTTTGGACAAGTGGTTATGCAACTACTGAACAAGTCAATCTGGATTGGTACTAGTCTCTGACTGATCTATCCCTGTTTCTGCACTTGCTGTCAATTTGTCAGATAGTTAGATGCAATTTCCTTTGCACAGATCTGCCTAACAGTCATCTATCCATCCGTAATTCGCCCAACCTGGCACAAATGGGGAGTGTATCGTTCATGTTGCATTTACTTCCAGATTGGTGCGCTAATATTTATGCACCACATAGTTATTAAAAATAGAGTGAGTGAATATGGTTTTACGCCGCTTTTAGCAATATTCCAGCAATATCACGGCGGGGGACACCAGAAATGGGCTTCACACATTGTACCAATGTCAGGAATCGAACCCAGGTCTTCGGCGTGACAAGCGAACGCATTAACCACTAGGCTACCCGACCGCCCCAATTAAAAATAGACAGCAGCCCCATCTGCAGACAGATAGTTCAGCATATACCGGTACATATGTTGCTAACCAAACATCCTGGAACAAACAAATAATGTGTATTTCACAGTCTATATCAGTCAGACCTCTCCCTATGTTTATAGTGACAACATATGACATTTTATTAACTTGTAGCAACTTGTGAAATAAAAATGTCCAAAATTAAATATTAGGTACATTTCAGTTTTGATTACTTTTGATGATAAATAATTTTAATAGAGTGTCTTAAAATTAGAATTACAAAGTTTAAGTTGTTTTGGACAGTCACTAGAGCTTTTGAAAAATGTCATTATTGTTAAGTTCAATGTGTTTGCAGTCTTTGATTCAGCAGCCGTTATAATCATGTAAAAACGCAGACACAGCTGTCAGGAATGTCCACGTGACATAAAATAATGATAATGTCGTATTAAAAGACACGTGCTGCCAGTCTGTTTACAAATGGTTGAAGGCGTGTACAATTAGTGAAGTTTGATTGGCTAGAAATTCCATCGCCTCAGCGAGTTCAAGGTCGTATGTTAGTCGCACTCTTTTGTTTCAATTGCGATACTTACGTTATCAGGTGTAGAAAATATACCATAAGGTAGATTTTGAATTGGGAAGTGACTGTCCGGACTGACGGTGACGAATGACATTGCTAAAAGTTGATTTTCAGTGAAAACTTAAGCAGCTTCGCCACACGCTTCTAGTGCAGGGGATTTCGATCAAGTGAAGCTAATTGTATTAGTTTCGATAAATATACAAAATATTGATAGTTGGATAGACAACACTGTAACAAATGCAAAACAAATATATTATTCGATATAGAATCACTTTATAAATAGTTTGTGGTGTAAAATTTCTTCATTATAATCAATAAACCAAGTCAGGATACTTTCGTAGAAATGCAAGGGGAGTAACTCTAGATATTTTCCGCAAAGAGCAAAGGCTGTGCGGAATAGGCAAATATGTTCAGAAAGTCGGTAAACTCTTTAGCACCTCTGATTCGCGCACGATGTTGGCATGTCATTCGACGAAAATACCATTTGGATGAAGTTGCTCCGATAGGCTCTTCGCCGGACTTTAGTTCACCAGAATATCAGGTCTTATTTTAGATACATTTTTGTTGATATTATGATACTCATTCATTCTGACATTCATCATGCAAGCAAGGGCTGTAGACATTGTGAGCTCTGTAATTAGACATTTGCCAAATACCCATGTTTTAGCTAAATAATTGGCAACAATGCAGTTTACCGGGCGCAGCCCGAGCTCTACCATCCGCTCAATTACGGCGCTATAGTGCCACCGCTGTCTCGTTATACCGTTACCTCGCTTCACGATCCAACATCCGTTTTCGGTCTTAGGGAAACTTACACATCTTTACAATCAAACACCCGTTCTCGGTCTTAGGGAAACTTACACATCTTTACGATCAAACACCCGTTCTAGGTCTTAGGGAAACTTACACAACTTTACGATCCAACACCCGTTTTTCGGTCTTAGGGAAACTTACACGTCTTTACGATCCAAAACCCCTTTTCGGTCATTAGGGTCAGCTGGCTTTGGGCAAGGGTTAGCCATAAATTCTTACCTTTTCAAGCGTTAATCCAGTTAATCCAAATGGTCGGTCATGTTGACATAAACAATTGCGGGTGTGGTTTCAAGTAAAGATGAATGGGAGAGCGGGCAGTGACGTCACACGCATGTGCAATTCATTGTTTACTGAATTACGCATGCATGTCAATGGGGATTCTAATGACCTGTTAAATGAGCACTGATTACATGTGATAGCGCCTGTGGTCCAGTGGTAGAGCGTCGGCTAATTAACGCATTAATTAGCAGAGCCGGTGAGCCGGCGAAGCGCGTTCGAGCCCCCACAGCGCTAATTGGATCTGAAAAAGTGCACTGCTCCCAAATAATTGGCCACAGTTGCTACAAAAAAAATTAAAAAAGAATAAGCAAATCAACTGGGAAACATTGATGAGTGAGTTGGGTTTAACGCCGCTTTGAACAGTATTCCAGTTATATCCCGGCATGTCAGCTTGATGTGCGAGGGAGGAAAGCCCGAAATGATGCAGATCTTGGATGCTTACTACTTAAAACCCACAAGCACATGTGTGGTGCTGACAATCCAAGAATCATAATCAGGGCTAACAATGATTCTGTCATCTCTAAACACAGTTACTAAATAATCCCAGTAATGTTGAGTTTCCAATATTCGTTCACTAAGTATGGGCTGCGGCTGCACATTATATAGCAAGCGCCTGTTCATGCAAGCATTTTCATTTTCAATATTATTTTTTTCTGGTTTCGATGTATTTCACTGTAATTTTTTTTCATTTTGGCACGTTTCATTATTATGCACAGGAATGCAGTTTTCTAGGTACTGTATATCGCTGTGTATAAGGCGAGTTTTTCGTACCTCGAACTAGTGGGCTTTCAAGGGGGGTCGTCTTATACACAGGGTTGAAGAGTTTTGATACCCCCCGAACATTACTGTTGGCACGTAACCGGAAATACCGTGTCAACCAATCCGCAATGAAGTATGCAAACTAATCATGTAATCACAATGTCAGGTAATAAAAAACAGTTAATTATATATCTAGACTTACCTTTGTAATCTATTTTATTGATTTTATTCAAAATTTCATTCAGTATTGTATGTTTTCATTTCGACAAAATTGTATGTGAAGTGATGAGGAGATCGGACAACTCACCGTTATTTACAGCAACCACGGTCATTTTACCGCTATTGACGCCTTGAAACGAACTTTTGTGGATAGAGAATGGATATATATATCATAAATGCCATGCTTTGACTCGCAGAAAGTCATATTTGTTGTAGTTTGACTATTATGTGTCAACATAAAGTTTTCACTATTGTGAGCGTGGGAGCATCAACGATGATTGGTCAAATTGTTCCGTACGACATCCGGCAATAGGGATCAGCTGTACCAAAGTGCTACACTTATGGTTTTTAATTTATTTCAAATATATATAGTAAAATGCTAATAAAATAACATGATATCGGAAAAAATATTCTGAATATAATAATAGTTTCAGATTCAATTCTTTCGATTATTGTATCAAAATTCTTTAAAGTTATATTATTGGATTGTTATTAACCAAATCACCGGTAGATTCCGAGAAACGTGTGTACAGCTGATTGCTACTTCCTGCTTAGTTTATGAGAAAACACACTTGGTAATCTTAATCTCTGCATATAAAACAATGCCTATCAGAACAGGAAATACAATTTAATCGGTAAATGATCATGTCAAGGTTTTTTTATTTCCAATTTTAAATTGGTATTGACCAAGTTTAATTGTTTATGATCCCTGAATTGCTGGGTTTTTTTGACATTGCACACATTTCAACATTGTTGGTCCGAAAACTATCTATTTCCTGTGGGACTTGTTTTGACATTAATAATTGTGATTTTTCCTTTAGGAGAATTATGTTCGAATGAAAGCTCTTGTGGATGAGTTGAAACAGAATGTTGGAAGGATTTGTGAAGGTATGTTTATCACCAAAAAGTTACATGATTGCATTGATGTGTGCTGTCATAGCTTGATTCATGCTGTCTTTTCTGATAGTGACTGGTATCCTAACATGACCAACACTTGTTCAATAAGTATCTTGATCCATACATACATTAATGTTGCCTCCGACCACTAGTACAAAGCTCTGTCTGTATGATGGAAAGAGTGTACTGCTTAATTACAGATTAACTGACTAAATTCATTACCGTTAGTGACATTTACACTGAGATCTTACAATGGCGAATAAATACATTGTAACACGTGGCAAACAGCTGACTGTGTTTACTTGTGTGTTTTTATGTAGTACTCAGGGACTACAGCTCACTGTGTCTACCTGTGTGATTATATGTAGTACTCAGGGAATACAGCTGACTGTGTCTACTTGTGTGATTTTATGTAGTACTCAGGGACTACAGCTGACTGTGTCTACTTGTGTGATTTTATGAAGTACTCAGGGACTACAGCTGACTGTGTCTACTTGTGTGATTTTATGTAGTACTCAGGGACTACAGCTGACTGTGTCTACTTGTGTGATTTTATGTAGTACTCAGGGAATACAGCTGACTGTGTCTACTTGTGTGATTTTATGTAGTACTCAGGGACTACAGCTGACTGTGTCTACTTGTGTGATTTTATGTAGTACTCAGGGAATACAGCTGACTGTGTCTACTTGTGTGATTTTATGTAGTACTCAGGGACTACAGCTGACTGTGTCTACTTGTGTGATTTTATGTAGTACTCATGGCAAACAGCTGACTGTGTTTACTTGTGTGATTTTATGTAGTACTCAGGGAATACAGATGACTGTGGCTAGTTGTGTGATGTCTTACATCTGCAGGCGGCGGGGTAAAGGCCAGAGACCGACACACCTCTCGGGGTAAGATGCTGCCCAGAGACAGAATCAACACCTTGTTAGACCCAGAGTAAGTTGGCAACTATTCTACACCTTAAGAAAATGTATTCACTGTATGCATAGTTGCCGTATTGTGGTGTTTCATGGAATCTTTCCACACTGAAATTGTTTGTCTGAATTAAGAAGACTCAATTTTTGCAAATGATGAAATATGAAAGTATGAAAAGTTTATGTCTTCAAGATGGAAAAGATTGCTTCAGGCAGGAGCCTATTATTACTCTGGAGAATCTTGTTGATGCAGAATTGGAACTGAAATATGGTGTTGGTTTTCTTGCAGGTCGCCATTCCTTGAGTTGAGTCAATTGGCTGGTTACAATTTGTACAAGGGAGAAGACGTCCCTGCTGGGGGGATAATCACTGGAATCGGGCGAGTGTCGGGGTAAGAAAAGACGTCCCTGCTGGGGGGATAATCACTGGAATTGGGCGAGTGTCGGGGTAAGAGAAGACGTCCCTGCTGGGGGGATAATCACTGGAATTGGGCGAGTGTCTGGGTAAGAGAAGACATTCCTGCTGGGGAGATAATCACTGGAATCGGGCGAGTGTCGGGGTAAGAGAAGACGTCCCTGCTGGGGGGATAATCACTGGAATCGGGCGAGTGTCGGGGTAAGAGAAGACGTCCCTGCTGGGGAGATAATCACTGGAATTGGGCGAGTGTCTGGGTAAGAGAAGATGTCCCTGCTGGGGGGATAATTACTGGAATCTGGCGAGTGTCAGGGTAAGAGAAGACGTCCCTGCTGGGGGGATAATCACTGGAATCATGCTAGTGTCGGGGTAAGAGAAGACGTCCCTGCTGGGGAGATAATCGCAGGAATTGGTCGAGAAGGCCGGGGTAAGAGAAGACGTCCCTGCTGGGGAGATAATCACTGGAATTGGGCGAGTGTCTGGGTAGGAGAAGATGACCCTGCTGGGGGGATAATCACTGGAATCGGGCGAGTGCCGGGGTAAGAGAAGACATCCCTGCTGGGGGGATAATCACTGGAATCGGGCGAGTGTCGGGGTAAGAGAAGACGTCCCTGCTGGGGGGATAATCACAGGAATCAGGCTAGTGTCAGGGTAAGAGAAGACGTCCCTGCTGGGGAGATAATCACTGGAATCGGGCGAGTGTCAGGGTAAGAGAAGACGTCCCTGCTGGGGGGATAATCACTGGAATCGGGCGAGTGTCAGGGTAAGAGAAGACGTCCCTGCTGGGGGGATAATCACTGGAATCATGCAAGTGTCAGGGTTAAGAGAAGACGTCCCTGCTGGGGAGATAATCGCAGGAATCGGCCGAGTGTCGGGGTAAGAGAAGATGTCCCTGCTGGGGGGATAATCACTGGAATCGGGCGAGGTGTCTGGGTAAGAGAAGATGTCCCTGCTGGGGGGATAATCACTGGAATCGGGCGAGTGCCGGGGTAAGAGAAGACGTCCCTGCTGGGGGGATAATCACTGGAATTGGGCGAGTGCCGGGGTAAGAGAAGACGTCTCTGCTGGGGGGATAATCACTGGAATCGGGCGAGTGCCGGGGTAAGAGAAGATGTCCCTGCTGGGGGGATAATTACTGGAATCGGGCTGGTGTTGGGCTAAGATAAGACATCCCTGCTGGGGGGATAATCACTGGAATCGGGCGAATGTCAGGGTAAGAGACGAGAGATACATCACATAAATCAAGCGTGTGTCGGGGTAAGAGAAGACGTCCCTGCTGGGGAGATAATCACAGGAATCAGGCAAGTGTCAAGGTGAGAGACGAAGTCGTTGCAGGAGTGATACTTGCAGGAATCAGGCGAGTGTAACGATAAGGCTTATTAAGAGATGAAGTTGTTGCAGGGGAGATAATCGCAGGAATCCTTAATCGTGTATAAGGATGAGAGGTGACATCACAATTTCAAGCCTGTAGCATGTTTCTCATCTTTAATAGGGTTGTTTTTACTGGTTGTGTCAAGATCACATCCCTAATGCTGTAAAATATACTGACGTTAAGGATAGGAAAGTGTTCCGAATGGCTGAGTTAGAATAACAGGACACAAGAACCATTGAATGATGTTTTAATGGGGGTAATGTCATGAAGTGATGAAGCTGTGAGGGCTGCATGTCATGTGTTTCAGTGTGGAGTGTATGATCGTCACCAACGACCCCACAGTCAAGGGAGGAGCCTACTATCCTGTCACAGTGAAAAAACATCTGAGAGCCCAGGAGATAGCTCAGCAAAATAACCTGCCATGTATTTATCTAGGTGAGGCAGCTACATCTACATATAAATATAGGTGTGATATTAATGTGAATAGTTATTCCTCACCAATGAAATGATAATCAAAATGATATTCCATAATCTCATTAAAATCAGACCCAAGTGTTCACTACCGCTAACTTGGTAGCAAGCACTAGGATCTGATTTAAATGAGATCGGGAAAGAGTACACACGCAATCAAATGCAAATCAAACTCTTGGCAAACCCTCAAAATCTGCTCATTGTTCCTAGATATCCAAAGTTCATTATTCCCATTAACAAGGAAACTGATTGCCACTCTTTGGGCAATAGATTATGTATCACTGTGACCGACTTACATACACCCATGGGGGCTTGGTAGGTATCAGGCACTATTTGTTACTATGCAGAGTTGCATCCCTTAGCTGTGCAAGTATCAATAAGTTTGTGTAATTGTTTCCAAATAATGTTGTCTTCCAGTTGATTCTGGTGGGGCCAATCTACCTCGACAAGATGAAGTGTTCCCAGACAGGGACCACTTTGGTCGGATATTTTTTAATCAAGCCAATATGTCCGCACAAGGAATTCCGCAGGTAAAATGTATTAGCATCACAAACATTCTTAGGTATGTGGATATATAGTAATAAGATAATTTTGTCATATGCTGCATTTATTGATCGAACCAGCTATGCCTTCAACAAGTTCCAGGTTACTAACTTCAACTGAAAACTTATCTTCATATCCCAGAGTTAATGACCCCTACTGCTTACATGTGGCGTTGTATAGCCTATTCTTGTATGAAGGGACTTACAGTATTTGCTGCACTGAATAACAACAACAAACAAACAGGTGGTATGATGTGTGTTGCAGGTGGCTGTTGTTCTCGGCAGCTGTACTGCAGGTGGGGCCTATGTCCCAGCCATGTCAGACGAGAGTATCATTGTCCGGAAACAGGGAACAATTTTCTTGGCCGGGCCACCACTGGTAAGAAATCTTTAAGATACCATTTGACAGTCTGTTCATATTGATATCATGACCTATGTAAATGATTCTGTAATAATATTGAAAGAAATGGAAACATGCCCGTGAAATTATGCTGGATTATCTCCCCTTGTAATAAGAAAATTCTGCATGTTTCTATTAGTATTGGTACCTAAAGTTATCTCCCTTTACATTACAAATATTATCAGTTTATTGTCATCTTCCCGAGGCAAGTGAGTTAACTGACTATAAAAGTCTAGTTTCCACCCTTGCCGAACTAGGCTGGTATTATGGAGTAACATTTTGGCTGGACTAACGAGTTTATGCTTAGTCCAAACCAAATTGCACTTCGAAATCGAAATCCTGTTCGTAAACTGTCATGCAGATTTCGGTCGATTGCAGGATTTGCAAAGCATGTACGCCGCTAACTTGTTGTCAACAGATATTTTCTAATTGTTTTCCTGTTTTTAATCAAGGTGCTCGCGTGATTTGATGCACTTCGCAATGTAAGATTCGTTTCATCTCAATATATAGATCTTGATTATCCATCAGATCATCTTGACTGGGCGCCGCAGTTTTGGTTGGAGCAAATGCAAGTGATATGAGAGGTGGAATCTCAGTGGTTCATAGGAGAGGCATAGAAGGGACATAATTCGTAATAGCCTCTGGTGGCGTTACGATCGAGCCCAGGAATTCCAGCCTAGTTCGGCAAGGGTGGAAACTGGACTTAGTCAGTTAACACTCTTGCCTTGATCACAAAGTCAGCCAAAATGAACAAGTATCATCAAATTAAAATGATGGTGTTTGATTTGATTATCTCCCTTTGAACCTTCGTCAAGGTACCTTTGAACAATAAGTTATGACTATGTTACCATGCTGCATCTACTAGGGCTGGGACCAGTCCAAATTTGCTACCCAGGTACCTGCCCCACTGTGACCCAGCCCTACCTGGGTATCCGATGTTGGTCTCAAGAATTGGGTTCATTACTGGGGTGTCTCCGACTGTTTATGTTGATGCGTCTGCCTTCACCCGGATCTAATGCACTGTTGTAGTGTTGCCAAGGGAGGCAACTCCAGTGTACTGGGGTGTCTCTGACTGATTATGTTGATACGACTGCCTACACCATGATCTAATGCACTGTTGTAGTGTTGCCAAGGGAGGCAACTCCAGTGTACTGGGGTGTCTCTGACTGATTATGTTGATACGACTGCCTACACCATGATCTAATGCACTGTTGTAGTGTTGCCAAAGGAGGCAACTCCATTGTACTGGGGTGTCTCCGACTGTGTGTGTTGATACGACTGCCTACACCATGATCTAATGCACTGTTGTGGTGCTGCCAAGGGAGGCAACTCCATTGTACTGGGGTGTGTCCGACTGTTTATGTTGATACGACTGCCTACACCATGATCTTATGCACTGTTGAAGTGTTGCCAAGGGAGGCAACTCAAGTGTACTGAGGTGTCTCCGACTGTTTATGTTGATACAACTGCCTACACCATGATCTAAAACACTATTGTAGTGTTGCCAAGGGAGGCAACTCAAGTGATCCGGGGTGCCTCCGACTGTTTGTGTTGATACGGCTGCCTACACCCGGATCTAATGCACTGTTGTAGTGATGCCAAGGGAGGCAACTCCAGTGCTCTGGGGTGTCTCTGACTGATTGTTGATACGACTGACTACACCATGATCTAATGCACTGTTGTAGTGTTGCCAAGGGAGGCAACTCCACTGTGCTGGGCTGTCTCTTACTGTTTATGTTGATACGACTGCCTACACCATGATCAAATGCACTGTTGTAGTGCTGCCAAGGGAGGCAACTCCAGTGTTCTGGGGTGCCTCCGACTGTTTATGTTGATACGACTGCCTACACCATGATCTAATGCACTATTGTAGTGTTGCCAAGGGAGGCAACGCCAGTGTACCGGGGTGTCTCCGACTGTTTATGTTGATACGACTGCCTACACCATGATCTAATGCACTGTTGTAGTGTTGCCAAGGGAGGCAACTCCATTGTGCTGGGGTGTCTCTCACTGTTTATGTTGATACGACTGCCTACACCATGATCTAATGCACTGTTGTAGTGTTGCCAAGGCAGGCAACTCCACTGTACTGGGGTGTCTCTGACTGATTATGTTGATATGACTGCCTACACCATGATCTAATGCACTGTTGTAGTGTTGCCAAGGCAGGCAACTCCACTGTACTGGGGTGTCTCTCACTGTTTATGTTGATACGACTGCCTACACCATGATCTAATGCACTGTTGTAGTGTTGCCAAGGGAGGCAACTCCAGTGTACTGGGGTGTCTCCAACTGTTTATGTTGATACGACTGCCTACACCATAATCTAATGCACTGTTGTAGTGTTGCCAAGAGAGGCAACTCCAGTGTACTGGGGTGTCTCCAACTGTTTATGTTGATACACCATGATCTAATGCACTGTTGTAGTGTTGCCAAGGGAGGCAACTCCACTGTAATGGGGTGTCTCTCACTGTTTATGTTCTATGCACTGTGGTGTGATGTGTCCTGGAACTGTTTGTCCCAACAGGTGAAGGCTGCAACAGGGGAGGAAGTGTCAGCAGAAGACCTGGGTGGGGCTGACTTGCATTGTGGGTAAGAAATCACTCCAACTGCTTGAATACATCACAGGAAATCTGAGGAAGGAAATGCCAGCCTCCTTTTCAGCAGCCCTGCTTTGGGTTGTTTGTTCTCTTTTTCATGTTAAAAACTTTATGGCTTTGGGAATCTGATAGGCATTGTATAACAAATGTTCTCACAGGTCAGGAACACATTAGGGAATTAAGAACAACGGTCAAGTCTAACAGTGACAGAAATGTTGTTGTTTTTCCAGTGTGTCACAGGGCACTCGTAAGGTTGTTGGGGATTGAAGTGTGGCAACCAGAAGAATACCTTCAATGAAAAAGCGAATGGGTTACTTGAAATCCCTCTCATAGCTTGGGTTCATGCATTCAACATTTTCCATGCATTTGACCATTTTACTTGTGAAAAAGTAGATTTATCAGTAGATTTATATTATATAATTTGTAACAAGTTTTTTGTGTCTTAAACGCGTTTAAGGCCATGCCATTATGATTTTGATCATGCCATTGGCACTTCAAGAGACTTCAAACCCTGATGAAAATTTCGGGATTTCATTAAGACGGAAGGTAAGCGTCAGGGTATTTAAGAAATGTCCATTGTAGTTGTTAATAGGGCGGTCGGGTAGCCCAGGGGTTAAAGCGTTCGTTCGAACTCCGAAGACCCAGGTTTGATTCCCGACATGGGTACAATATGTGATGCCCATTTCTGGTGTCCCCCACTGTGATATTGCTCGAATATTGCTGAAAGCGGCGTCAAACATACTCACTAGTTGTCAATAACTGTTTTCAATATGGCATACAGCATATGAGAGGCTCCTGGCCCCAAAACACTGCAGGAAAGAAGTGGTACATAATTGCCAAGCGTGAACATTTTATTTTCATCAATGTTTGACCTAAGTTTATTCTCTGTCGCTTGATCTCTGACAGCAAATTAAACTTGTGTATGGGTTTAATAAGCACTACCCCCCCCTCCCCCCCCCCCCCCCCCCCCTCCCCTTTATCAATTTTCTTAGTGCACAGGGCGCTTATTACGGCATATATGGTATGTTGATGTATATATTTACTATAAGATCAGTGGTGGGATGGTCAATATTTTACATGTAGTTCTTTGCATTGTTATATATACTAAACAAAACAAGTTAGGGATCATGAATACTTTGGGGGATATTTTTTGTGGTGAAGACTGAGCACTCACTCTCACAAAATCCTAGAATCTATTGTAATACATACATTAAGGGAACTGTTGAAGGAAACATGTGGGTCTGTATTAGAGTATTTTCACTCTTTTTTTTAGATAATGCTTTTTAACATATAAATGATTTAATCGAATCAATCTTGCTTACATTTAGTGCTATATTTCAGGAAGTCTGGAGTGACAGACTACTATGCACAGGACGACCAGCATGCACTGCACTTGGCCAGGAGGGTCATTAGAAACATTAACTATGACAAATCTCCAGGGGTAAGACTTTGGAAAATGTGTTATTTTGATTAGCCAGTGATTTAAAATCCCATCAATGTGTCTTTGATTACAACAGCTGATTAGATGGTTGCATAGTGCTATATGAGTACACATATCCTTCAACTTTGTATGTTATTTAAGTGCAGCATGATTAGTTTTCTCAAATTTATTTCTGCTCAAACATTTCTAGAAACTTGCATGAAGCTGGATAAACCTTCCAGGCAAATGTGTATAATTTATAATTTGCTAAATAAAACATTGGGTGAAGGCGTGTACGGGGAGAGATTTTACCATACATGCAGCATATTGTTAGTACTTAGTAAGAAATTTTGTACACTTACCTTATTCAAGAAATAAGCGATGAGTTGGTGTTGTTTATCGTACAATAAAACACTGCAGGGAGAATATGCCATGAGGTGCACAGCCACGAGTGGTTCATTCTCCCTACAGTGTTTTTCTGTACGATAAACCATGACCACGAGTCGTATATTTCTTATATGAGATATCAACATTATTTAAAGCCTCTTTAAAGATGTTCGTAAAAAGTTTTAAAAATATTTATCCAAATTTTAATAATGATGACTCCATCAATAGAACCTGAACAACTCCATTTATGCACAGGTGGATTTACCCAGCATATTCTCACAATCCTCAAATCAATCACCTGTGTCTTTTCTCCCAATACTGGTTGTCATATGTCTCCGGCTTTTGGATGCAATCATTTGGCCGTCACATTTATCTGTGTTGCCCAGCTACATCTATGGGGAACAACTCACTTGAAATTCCCCTCTCCAAAATGTCATCCAATATACGACGCTACCAAGTTGTGAGCGCATGTTCGAATCAGCTGATCAGGAAAGAACTATGTTCTTCATTGTTTTTTGCGATTTGTTGAATCATTGTAATATAAACCTGACAACATAACATAGCACAGTTCTGCCTGTAGTAACGTTGTTGTGACTGTTGTTGACGTTGTTTGTTACCCCAGGTAACTATTGAGACCCCTGAAGACCCACTGTACCCATCCGATGAGCTGTATGGGATTGTGGGAGACAACCTAAAGAAAACCTTCGACATCAGGCAGGTGGGTAACACTGTACTTCACAGGTGTATGAAGCCATAGTTGGAAGCACTGACAAGATGAGAACCCTGTGGGGATGCCAGGTTGGAATTGCTCCCTAGCAACCAATGCTGGTCATTAGAAGCGACTCAATGATTGTCTGATCCAGACATGATTATTTAAAGGTGAATTCCTAAACTGAAAGGGTCGCGTAGCCTAGTGGTTAAAGCGTTCGCTCGTCATGCCCAAGACCCGGGTTCGATTCCCGACATGGGTACAATGTGTGAAGTCCATTTCTGGTGTCCCCCCGTCGTGATATTGCTGAAATATTTCTAAAAGCGGCGTAAAACCATACTCACTCACTCCTTCACTCCTGAAGTGAAAAATAGAAGAAGTTTTGCCTAACATTGCTATAAACAACTGACATAAATACACAGAAAATATTAATGGCACATGATGTATGCATGATTTGTGTTGTATGCAGTGGGTACAGATGCTGTAATGATCTTATTAAGGCTGCAAATTTTCCTTGCAAATTTTAATCCTTATCAACACTATTTGCTAGTAGAGGGCTTGAACCCCAGATTCATTCTGATTGTGATCCTTGGTTTGTCTGCACCATACTCATGTTTGTGAGTTTCCCTGAAGTTGTTATCATCCATGACGTGTAGCACTTTGGACTTTCCCCCCACATCAAGCTGACATACCATATGCTGTGTATCGCCGCTTTGAAAAGTATTCCAGTTATATCATGGTGTGTCAGCTTAATGTTGGAGGAAAGCCCGATGATACAGGTCTTCCTACTTCACTGAAACCCACAAGAATGGGTATGGTGCTGACAAACCTAGAAACATAATCCAGGCATCCACAATCATAGCTACCTGGCATGCCCAAGGGACAAAACTCTGCACAGCGAATTGCTGTGCCTTAGAGGACGGGGCCACCAGTGCCCCCATGATATATCACTGTGTTTGGGGTTTTCTCGCTAAACACAAGAACAACGATAAAACATCTCACACACTTATGAAAGACGCCTTTATCTTAAAAACAGGCCATCATCTGAGTATTTACAATGTCTGTGTGAGGACACACCCCTTGTTATGGCGCGAGTAATCGCGATAAACATGGCTGTCTGAAATCGAATTACATCCAAAAACTTTTTATCCAACGATAACTAAGATTTTGTTCAGTACAGTGTTCAACACAGTTTCCTCTCACTGTACTGACCCATGAAGATCCGGGGAAGAATAGGTCTTCAGCAACCCATGCTTGCCATAATAGGCTACTATGCTTGTCGCAAGAGGCGACTAACTGGATCGGGTGGTCAGGCTCACTGTCTTCTTTGATGCATGTCATCGTACCCCAATTGTCTAGATCGGTGCTCATGATGTCGGTCACTGAATTGTCTGGTCCAGACTCGATTGTTTACAGACCACCATCATTTGGCTGGAATATTGCGGACTGTGGTGTTAAACAACAAACAAACAAACAATAGTGATATTATTCTGAGTTGTAGCTGGATCACGGGGTTTACATGTTTTTTTTTGCGACCCTCGTTAGGTTTTATACCACGAGGTGGAGGGACGCAGCATTAAACAACAAACAAACAAACAAACAAAACTCACTGTCCATGCAGCTGGGCTCACAGTGGGTCACATCTTACGACTGTTAATGACATTTGTTTGTTGCAGGTTATAGCGAGGCTAGTGGATGGTAGTCGGTTTGATGAGTTTAAGGCGATGTATGGTGACACGTTGATAACTGGTAAGCTGGATGAATACTTATAGTGTCATTGTTCCCAATATTGTGTGTTTGACACAGACATGTTGAATATTGAAAAAGTGTTAAATGTTTCTCAACTGTTTTTGATAAGAAAATAATTTGTTTCTGATTCCTTGATGAGTTTCAGCAGTGACATGTTCTGTTTCCAGGTTTTGCCAGACTCTGGGGTTATCCTGTGGGTATTATTGGAAACAATGGTGTCTTATTCTCCGATTCTGCTCTTAAGGTAGCTTTTACAAATATAACTGGCACCGTTTATAAGCATCATTAAATACAATGTGTACATCAACTCTCACGTCAGTAGAGAGGTGAGGTGAAATGGGGTTTAACGTCGTGTCCAATCCTGCAGTTTAACATGAATACCCCACTCAGACACAGTATACTGACTCCGAGTGGGCGAGTGAGTTGGGTATAACACCGCTGTTAACAATATTCCAGTTATATCACAGCGTGTCAGCTTAATGTGGGAGGAAAGCCTGAAGTGACAACTGGGCCCCCCATGCCCCCCATACTGACTCCAAGCTGACCAGTCCCTGTTTGAGCCTGGGTAGCAACATGTACAATCTTTTGACGTCTTTTGGAATGAGGTGGCTGGTGATTGAACCTTTCCGCTCTACGGTCGGATGCTCTACCACTAGACTTCAGAGGCAGTTCCTCAATAAAGAAGGCTAGCCCAGTTGATAAAACATTTCTTCGTCATACTGCAGATCCAGTTTGATTCCACATTGACAAACTGTGTGAAGCCCACTCTTGGTGTCCCCAGCTGTGATATTGTTGGAATATTGTTAATATTATTAAATCATACACGCTGTCTTGGTCTTACATTCATCACAGTTTTTTAAAGAAAACCTATACTGTAACAAATATTGTTTTTATTTTAGGCAACTCATTTTATTGAATTGTGCAGCAAACGAGGAATCCCTTTAATATTCCTGCAAAATATTACAGGTATGTTCGATTTGTAGAAAAACACATCAAACCTACTCTATTTATATGTCCACAAACATTCTAAACAAAAGCACAACAACCTTTCATGCTGTTACCGTACATCAAACCCTCTTGACAACTAGTTAATTATGAAAAATATCGACAACAGAACTCAGCTTATGCCTACTTGGTGTTTTACTAGCTAACGATGACAAGTCATTGGTCGGAGTGAAAGATGACCCTGGAGCCTGGTCTACATGTTGTAGTCCATTCCACTTGGCGCCTTGTGAATTGTTTTCACTGCTACAATATTGGTTTGGCTCCCAGGGAAATAACATCAGGGGCCAGATGGCTCCCTTGGGAAAACTTGAATGTTGAGACCTGCTGTATTTATGCAGAGATGAAAACCATAACAATTTGGCAGAATTATTTTGACATTTTGAACCAAAGTCTGCTAATACGATTCATGTGAAATACTAAATAAATCTGTCAAAAGAAATTGCCAATAATTATTGACCTCGCAAAAGGTATTGTCTCATCAGGCTCATCTGCAACCAATTAATTATCAACTTGCGAAATGGGACAAAATGTGATGCAAATCACCAGGGTTTATTTCAAACCACAGTATCATGCCAAAAAAGATTACTAATTGTTTTTGAAAATCACTAAGTTTAGACCCCAATTATCCCACATATTCCTAACTGCCTCTGTTTAGGATTGACATGTACAGTTTATGGCCCTACTGTGTGTGGTGTGAGTCTCACCGTCATATTCTGCCGCCAGGTTTCATGGTGGGGAGTGAGGCAGAGGCAGGTGGGATAGCAAAGAATGGCGCCAAGATGGTGACTGCTGTGGCATGTGCTAAAGTGCCCAAGTTGACTGTCATCATTGGGGGGTCCTATGGTGCAGGCAACTACGGCATGTGTGGTCGAGCTTACAGGTAGGTCAAGAATCCTGGAGGAAATGTTGGTGATGTAAATACGATATAAGTTGTAGCAGGATCATGAAGGGTACATGGGGTTTTATGCGTCCCTCGTTAGGTTTTGTAAGGCTCGCGGTATAAAACCTAACGCAGGAAGGCATAAAACCCCATGTACCCCTCGTGATCCTGCTTCAACGAATTTATCTTACCGAGATGTTTCAATGTGACATTGTAAAAGAATTAACAATAATTCAAAATTGATAGAAAATAGCTGTTCGATTGAGCCGAGGTTAACTTGTGCTATGTCACGTGACTTCCATTGACTCAGGAATAGCGTGCAGCTTTTTGCTTTGAAGTGGGGTTTTATATAAGGGATTTATTCTGTCTCTCCGAAATCCATGTGCAGCCTGTAGTGCTCATGGTGGGGTATAAGAGATTTATTCCCCAGTTGAGAAATTTATTTCCCTCCAAGGCGGGTCACACAATATTTTATCAAGATCACATGGACCAATCAGATCTCATCATTTTGACAAGGAGGTTGATTATATGTTTTCTATTGATCTGTTTGACCATATGATTTGAACATTACAAGTTGATTATCTAAAGAGTTACAAATCTTGCCTTACGTTGCCATTCACATACATTTCAGAAATATTGTGTGCATCAGATCTCTGTGAAACTCACTTTTAGTATTCATACATGAATTGTGAATTATTTATGCATTTTTTTGGGGGGGGTTTACTCTTCTGATTATGAACAGTTGCTATTTGGTACATGATGGGCATATTTGTTGTTTCAGTCCACGTTTTCTGTACATGTGGCCGAACTCCCGTATCTGCGTGATGGGGGGTGAACAGGCTGCCAACGTTCTTGCTCAGATTACACGGGAACAACGATCTCGTGAAGGGAAGACGGTGAGAGGATGGACATTTGCTTTTCCTAAATGTGAATTATCAGATCATTATGGTATTAGTTGTCATGGTTATGGCCCTTGGTTTTTTATGGTTATTGTTATCCAAAATATATACCCCTAACATGCCTAAATAATGTTTAATGGTGAAAAAAGTTAAGGATGATAATTAATGAATGTCAACTTCTTTATTATGAGGAATACGTTTAGAAGTATATACTTACTCCTTCATCAGGTGAATACAAAATTTGTTTTTGAATGCCAGCATGCATCCCGCTGTTTTGTGGTTGATGAGAGTTTATTACATTGGTTTAACACTGATGTGTTTGAAATTCAAGTTCAGAAACACGATTTGGAAGGGCTATGAAAAGAAGAGACTATCACACAGCATTTCTTTGTGAAATAGCTGGTTCACTTGATCAGACACACTCTGAACATTGCGTGTTTGTTGCCTGTTTGTAGTGGACAGAGGAGGAGGAGAAGGCACTGAAGGACCCTGTATTAAAGAAATACGAGAAGGAAGGCAGTCCTTACTACGCTAGTGCTAGGTGAGTAGAGGATAGGGAGGCAGGCCTTACTATGCTAGTGCTAGGTGAGTAGAGGATAGGGAGGCAGTCCTTACTACGCTAGTGCTAGGTGAGTAGAGAGAAGGAAGGAAGGCCTTACTACGCTGGTGCTAGGTGAGTAGAGAATAGGGAGGCAGTCCTTACTACGCTAGTGCAGGGTGAGTAGAGGATAGGGAGGCAGTCCTTACTACACTAGTGCTAGGTGAGTAGAGGATAGGGAGGCAGGCCTTACTACGCTAGTGCTAGGTGAGTAGAGAGAAGGAAGGAAGGCCTTACTACGCTGGTGCTAGGTGAGTAGAGAATAGGGAGGCAGTCCTTACTACGCTAGTGCAGGGTGAGTAGAGGATAGGGAGGCAGTCCTTACTACACTAGTGCTAGGTGAGTAGAGGATAGGGAGGCAGGCCTTACTACGCTAGTGCTAGGTGAGTAGAGGATAGGGAGGCAGTCCTTACTACGCTAGTGCTAGGTGAGTAGAGGATAGGGAGGCAGTCCTTACTACACTAGTGCTAGGTGAGTAGAGAGAAGGAAGGAAGGCCTTACTACGCTAGTGCTAGGTGAGTAGAGGATAGGGAGGCAGTCCTTACTAAGCTAGTGCTAGGTGAGTAGAGACATTCTATCTCATTAAGGGTAAGGACTCACACCTTATTGCAAGGTATTAATACCATGGCTCTGTTGTCTGTACAAAAGACCTTGTACTAAAAATCATCTCTAAACACAATTTCTTTTCTGGCTGTGTACGATATTCAGTCGGAGTAAATTCTGTTTATTGTTATATTGATGTCGTGGGTAGCACAGTGGTGAAAGATGCTGTAATTCGAGTTGCGTAACTTACATGTGCTGGTCATTGCTTTGAATCCCAGATTAGATTTTGACCCTTGGTTTATCAGCACCATACTAGTGGACATCCACAACCTTCAACCAACAGTTAGCCAACACGCCATGATATGCTCAAAGGGGCACCAAACACAACTCACTACAATAAATAATGAAGAGGTATTACAAATCAGGGTGCTTCTGTTACACTTTGTAGGTATTATTTAAGCAATACTGCATGAAGAAATTGAGGTTAGTTATTACAGTAAAATAAACACTAGACACTTGTTTGTGCAGGTCCCTGACTGTCTTTGTGTTGTTTCCAGGTTATGGGATGATGGTGTGATTGATCCTGCGGATACTCGGACGGTGCTGGGACTGAGTCTTAGTGCGGCACTCAATGCTCCCCGACAGGAAACCACTTTCGGTGTCTTCCGAATGTAATCAATGAACTTTGGTTGTGTGTGTATGTGTACAGTGTTAGTGATGAACTGAACTACCACAATATGAGATATGCTGATTTTAAACAGGGATCGATTCCATGTGAATGCTCCATTTGGTATTTGGTCCAGTGGTCTCAGGTGCAGTAGCTCGCTGTGCAGAGTTGTGTCCCTTGGTCTTGTTTTTAGTAGTGAATGTCAGCAACACATTACAGTGGCCTCTAGAACTGAGTATCGCCTGGCATCTTGCGATATGATTCGTATCACGATACGGACTGACAATACACATCAAATAGTAAGAAGTGATGAAATTACAGAAATACAGCTCTAAAACCTATTTCTTCGTACATATATTTAATGTTTTCTCATAAAACTTTAACAAAGAAAACCACAAGGACAAAAACAGTTATAAATGAAGGGATGGTCATTAAATGTAACAGTCGGCGCGTCCTCAGGTACAACATCCTTGTGTTCTGCTATGCTTACAGGTGCGCTAAGCCACTTCTGCCATTATGGGAGGTGACTCTAATAGTTCCTCTTCTATTTATAGCATATTGTGATCTCACAAACTGACGATGCAAGTACTGTGTGTACCTAGGTATTGATGATATCGTAGGTATCGGTGAATCCTTACAGCCCTTGTGGCCTCTTCCATCTCTCATTAAGCTTTCTGAAGATTTTAAAGGCTTGTACAGGGGGGTCGTCTTATACATGGGGTCGCTTTATAGACGGCGATATACGGTAGGCATGCAAACTGAAGAGGCTACTTTGGGTACTTATACACAGTGTTGTTACACCATTGGGTTTTTGACGTCTTTCATGTACAATTGTACGCAAGCAACTCAAAATTAACTGGGTAATGGTGAATTATGTTACACTTTACACAAATTCACAGCTTATCTGAACCTCGGGGGCTCCGTCTCTTGTCTTAGGTCAGTTGTGTTTAATGTAAGATGTGAACTGTGTAGAGAGACACAATACCGTATTCGACTTAATAAGCGCCCAGGGTGCTCGCAAAATTAGAAATAGGGGGCTCTTATTAGAATTTAATTTTGGTGAGAGAAAAAACAGAGTTGAAAGATTGTAAATTTCCCGGTTTATGCTGACAGCCTGAAATGATACAAAAGAAAAGTCTGTGCGTATTATACACGACAGATATATTTTCCAGAACTTAACTGCCCATCATTAAGGGTGAATATAACACACGAGTGCGTATTATACACGAATAAATAAGTGTACATTGACCAATCGGAAGGGGTGCTTATTGGGATTGTTCACTAGCCAATATATTAGCAAATATCACCATGGGCACTTATTACGTCGAATATGGTATTTGTTTCATACAATATTGTAAAAAAGCAGGCCATGTCTACAGGATTTGTGTCAGTGGTCCACATGGTCGACAAGGAGTGCAAACATCGATCATGCATCATGTTTAATAAGTCAGTAGATAGTCTTTATACCTATTTGATTGTAATCATGCTACTTGAGATTGTCTCTGCCTAGAAGTGACTTGTTTACTAACATGGGGTATCTTATGACTCAAGTGGTTCGGCTGTGTGAGTAACAGTAACACACAACAGACAGCAGGATACAGCATTTAATGTCAGAGGAGGAGTAAATAAATTCCCAGGCTGCTTATTTTTTATGGCAATAATAAGTGTTGATTAGAGCCACAAGGTCCTCTAAGAATGACATTACTACTGTATGAACTGTTGTGTGAGGTCATAACAGTATTATTGTGTCGCTGGAATGTCACTCTACAGACACATTTAAGGACATAAATGTACATAAATAAAATGCTAACATATGGAAATTGTAATGTTTTCTTAAAATATTTATCCATATGGGATTAATAACGTTTTACAAGGTTGATTTTAGTAAGCGATTTACCTACAGGTATAATATACAGTGTTGCCTCAGGGAAAACAATTTGCATTTAAAGCAAAATAATGCAACCCATGATATTTTTACATTCAAATAATACAATAAAACTATATACTTGTATTTGAAGAGTTAAATGCCCATTTAGGACAAGTGATTGATACTGGATGATCAGAATGATTATTGATCTGTCATGTCTAAGAGATTTGACAACAAAATATTTTCTAATGTAATTTCTATGAAAGTAACTCTTTGACAATCACAAAAGTTTTAATAAATTGCTGTCTTAATAAAGTGAACATGAGGACTATCAACAGAAAATTCAATGCAGTTTCCAGCACTTCAGACCATGGTAGTTCCTTAACATACTGTAGGCCAGTGAATTGATCACATTACAGGAGCAGGACCTACTTGAATGGCAGCCTAATCGTGGCAGCAACAGAATTCAGTCTGACCCAACAATAATAAACAATGTGTTACTGTGAATGCAATGAGACTGGAATTGAAATCAAAGAGGCTTAGCGGGTAACATGACATGCACAATACTTTCTAATGAGAATTTAAACGATTTAGCATTATTTTGCATGTGTCTTGTGACAAGTATTTATTTCTCATGATAGTTTCTCCCCCAACCTTATGGTGAGGTAGCCTAGTGGTCAAAGCGTTCGCCGGTCACACCTAAGGCAAAAGGTTTGATTCCCAGATGGATATGCATGGAGCCCATTTCTTGTGTCTGCCGCCGTGATATTGCTGGAATATTGCTAAGAGCAGCGTAAAACCACACTCACTCACGTTTAGTTTCATCTGCCAGATGGAGTATGTGTTGTACATGTTGTGACACATTACTTGATCACTTGCTTGGTTTTGCTGCTCGACTGCCAAATTTGCTGATACAGTATAAAGCACTATTCACTCTCACTAATAGAGTTGTCAGGCAGAGCATTGAAAGTAACAAAGCCTGTGGTAAAAGTAGAGTTGGTCTCCAGCAACCTAGCTTATCATAAAAAGCAACTTAATCAGGTGGTCAGATGAGTGTGTTGTCCTAGTAACCTGATGGCTTCTGAAGCTGCTGATAATAATACTGGTTTGTCTGGTCCAGCCTTCATTATTTACAGGCCACCATCCTGTAGTTGTAATATTGCTGAATGCCTTGTTTAAAGACTCAGGAGTTATTTGCTGTTATCATGCTTGGTGGTTGTAAGTTTCCCTATGTACCTACTGTGTGTGAGAGTGCCATGTAAACTGACCTGTATGAAGTGTGTCAGCTTGTGTATAACATGGATAACGGTGTGCTGTTGGGTATACAGTTTGGAGGTGTATGTCAGTTGTGTATGTCACAGATCAAAGCCAAGGAATAAATAAACAAATAGGTTTCTCTAACACTGTTGTTGTTTTTTCAACTATTTATGCTCCGTGTAGCTTTTGAGGAGGAATTATGTCAAGTGATTTTGTTTGCCTTACTTTGCAATTTCCTTATGTATTTGGTTTTAATGTTTGAAGAAAATCTTGACTCGAAAATATACCGTGAGGAAAAACTGCTGCCTGGAAAATAAACTTGAATGTATTTTAATAGAAAGTCATCAGTAACTTTGTGTCAGTTCAATTCAATTCTTTATTGTATGCAAGGCCACAGGCCCATATACAACAGAGTTACATAACATATTAATAAGATACATAGTCAAGGTAACAATTCACTTTGTAACAAAAACGCATGATGTATGTGCATGTTGTATTAGAGGATCCTTGCAGGACAGTAATGAAGACAATCTTATAGCATTAAAATGAGATAAAGACCACTCTGTAAGTATTTGTTTCTTAGATTTTCGTATAAAGGGCAAATAAACATAAAATGGTATTCATCTTCGACAACAATGTCACAAAATGGGCATAACCTTAGGGATTTCTTAACAGATGAAAATCTCCCTGTGTTTATTTTTAGATCATTCAGGCAGACTAAAATGAATAATGAGGTTACGAAAATACCTGTACCATAAGTTTGATAAAAAAGATTCTGGTTCAAGCAATGACTTGAACTCGCGATAAGTATCATATCTTGAACTTTCATAAATATCTGAATACCATTTCTGATGAAACATATCAATTGCACGCATGCGAAAGTACTAAATAAAAACATTTGCATTACCAATGGGACAGCCAAATGAAACCAAAGCCATATGTAATAAGCAATGTATGTATACAAGAAGCCCATGTGTTCTTTCCAAGACTATCGAGTTGTACAAGCATGTTGTAGGCTTTCATAGGTCATATAAAGAACTTGTGGATATTAATGCTATTTGGGAAAGGAAACTCTGATCCCCATCTTGGTTACCTCCCTTGACCGCCGTCACTGAATGCATTGTGTTGGTTGGCAGCCTTTGCAGCCCACACTATAATCTGGAGCAGTTTAATAGTTGATACATTCAGATGTTCAACAAAAGATGAAACATCTGGCCCTGAACATGGCAACAGATGAAACACAATGGCCCTGAACATGGCAGCAGATGAAACACATCTGGCCCTGAACATGGCACAGATGAAACACATCTGGCCCTGAACATGGCAACAGATGAAACACATCTGGCCCTGAACATGGCAACAGATGAAACACATCTGGCCCTGAACATGGCAACAGATGAAACACATCTGGCCCTGAACATGGCAACAGATGAAACACATCTGGCCCTGAACATGGCAACAGATGAAACACATCTGGCTCTGAACATGGCAACAGAAATAACAGAAAGATGAAGGGAAAAGACAATCTGAAACTTCATTAAAACATAATTTATTTCACTTTGTTGTTAATAGATAATAACCAACACTCTTTATCTTAATTATCTAAAATGCAACAACAATTTGACATGATATTCATGACAGTTTGTTTACACACAAGTAGTCTTCTTATAATATGAATATTAATTTCACTATAGCAAAGCTATGGCCTGTCTCTTTTTCCCATAAACATATCAACAATTACAGCAACATTTTTCACATGATCAACTTTGTGTTCTGTATTAGGACCATATTTCACAATGAAATGATATCCTCAGAAGTTTACATCTTAAATCAGCTTTTTGTTTCATGCATAACTCATATGAACACACATATCTTTTTCAAAAGATCTAGAACAAGTTGATTAATGCAAGCAGCAAGGAAGGAAGGACCTGATTGGGTGGGGTCACAAGTCCAGTCAGTAAAAGTTTGGGCCCATAGCCTGTCATTAATTTTCTGGCGAATGTGGATCGTTTGTCTGTCTGAAGGGACATATGTGGTCACCATGTTCTTCACTTCTGTAGTTTGTGTTTTGCAAATATCAAACACTGACTGGTTTTGTTGTGTCAATGGATCTACTTATATACAACATTCTTGCGATGTCGGCACGAACACGAAAAAAAGTAACATTTTTATTTCCGCTAAGCAGTTTTTTTATGGACATTAACTTTTGCCATAAAAATTTGACTTAGTTTTATGATAGTTGTTTTGGGTTGTTTTATACAAAACAGCACACCCATCCAAGATCCTCATGAAAGACATACGGCTCAAACTCAACAACTTCATCACAAGAAATATCACAGCTGGGCTAATAAATAAACAGATATCACATTCAACAGTTTTTGAAAATATAAGTCATCAACATACGTATACTCTAAAACTGTGCATTCAGCAAACAGCTACTTGCAGTAATAAACTCACACATTTATTTCAACCGGGTAGTAAATCTATTCCGTACGAGCTTTCAATCAACCTTCTCTAAACCTATTACTCTGTCACATCAGTGAACAGAAGAAAGACTTACCGTATTTTCTTGAGTATAGTGCGCACCCACGTATAATGCGCACCCCCCTCTAGCAGATTCAATATTTTGGAAAAAAAGAAATTTGAATATTATGCGCAGAAAAAAATAAGTAAGCAACATTATCTACACAGTAAACATGTCAAACGCATTTCTGTCCCTGTACACATGAAGAATTTGAGCATAAATATTGTTTGAGTTTGAAAGGGTCAGGTGGTTACATAGTAGAACCCTGGTACAAGAGCTGCGACGGGTACCTGGGTCAGGTGGGTACCTGGGTCAGGTGGTTACTGAGTAGAACCCACTGGGCTACCCTGACCCAAGGTTAGTCATGTGATATATTGTTTTATGACAAAAATTCACTATAACTCCATGGTTACACTACAAGTCACTATTGTTTGCATTTCTTTTTGACTATGCACACATTTCTTCTGACTTTCATATGTTTGAATAAGATGAAGCTTCAGCATGTTCAGTTAACTTCAGTACATGCATGACTAGGTCATGTGTATCTAAATACTTTTTTCCAGGGCTCCAGTGAAATAATTCCCAGTCGGACATTTTGTACCCAACTCTTGAGACCTACATCTGGTACCTGGGTAAGGTCCGGTAATAGCGGGTCGGGTGCCCAGGTAGTAAATTTGAACTCACCGCAGGCCTTCTGCGGACAAATTGCTTGTAAAATATGGAAAGCTGCATCTAATGGTCAAGGGTGACAACTCTGAAAAGTCAAACCAAGCTTAAAGCAAAATATGAAACATTCATGGCCTAAGGTGGACAACATCTTGTCAAAAATAAAAACTATCATCAAATACACTGGAGCCACTGAGAACAGCTCCGAGTGGCGGTGAACAGTGGACCAGTTGCCGGTGTTTAAAATAGCTGCCTGTCCTTTTGGTAATACATGTACCGTATTTGACGTAATAAACACCCCACTCTAGTGCTCATGGCGATATTTGCTAATATCTTGCCTTGTGAACAATCCCAATTAGCACCCCTTCCGATTGATCATTGTACACAAGACTTATTTATTCTTGTATAATATGCACTTGTGTGTTATGCACCCTTAATTATAGGCAATTAAATTCTGGAAAAATATATCTGTCGTACATTTCAGGCTGTCAGCATAAACCACGAAATTTATCTTTCAACTCTGTTTCTTTCACCAAAATAATATTCTAATTTTGAGAGCACCCTGGGCGCTTAATTACGTCGTATACGGTATATTTATTCTGCATGAAACTATAGAATAAGTCCAAGAATTTGAATTTCAAACTCTATTCTTGCGGTCGCTAATCTTAATGAATGCCTAATTAGATTTGAGAGCATCAATCTAACAAAATTGAATCTTGAGAATCCTAAACAGTATTTCAAGCCCTAGAGGTCACAAAGTCATCCAACTCAGGAAAATCCAGATAGTCACGGACGGATTGTGGTAGAGGAAGTTGCGAAAACTTCCTTGCCGGCCTGTCACCAAGGTAACCTCTCACCGCCTGTCGGCACTGACGTTTTAGACTGGCAACTCCGTTGATGAGAAACTGCAACTGACTCAGATCTTCTGTGGACATTGTTTCTGTGATGGGGAGTTTCTGCAGCTGCTTGATATCCCCGGGTGTGACGCGGTAGCCGGACAGAAGCACCATCTTGGCGATGTTGTACTGGGCACAGTGGGCTACTGCTGCTGTGAAGGCTGTTAGCTTGTTGCGACATGGTTTGTTGACGTCACACCCAGCTCTTAATAATATAGCTGCTATCACGGCATTAAATTTGAATATGGACGTGATAAGGGGAGTAACTCCATAGTGGTCACCTAAATCTACATCTGCTCCAGAATCAATCAGTCTGTTGATGATTGCTAAGTGTCCACATTCAATAGCTTTTAATAGGGGTGTTTTCGCTTCATCATTCTCCATACTCAAAATATTTACTTTACAACCATGTGACAGTAGAGCTTCCAATCCCTGTAAAAAAACAACAACTTTTTATTCCAAACAACTTCCAATACCATGAATACTTGATCATAAAATGAATACCATGAATACTTGCTCATAAAACAAACACCATGACTACTGGATCATAAAATGAATACAATGAATACTGGATCATAAAACGAATATGATGAATATTTGAACATAAAACGAATACCATGAATACTGGATCATAAAATGAATACAATGAATACTGGATCATAAAACGAATACATTGAATACTTGATCATAAAACAAACACCATGAATACTTGATCATAAAACCAACACCATGAATACTTGATCATAAAATGAATACAATGAATACTCGATCATAAAACGAATACATTGAATACTTGATCATAAAACAAACACCATGAATACTGGAACATAAAATGAATACCATGAATACTGGATCATAAAACAAACACCATGAATACTTGATCATAAAATGAATACAATGAATACTCGATCATAAAACGAATACATTGAATACTTGATCATAAAACAAACACCATGAATACTGGAACATAAAATGAATACCATGAATACTGGATCATAAAATGAATACCATGAATACTTGATCATAAAACGAATACCATGAATACTGGATGATAAAATGAATACTTGATCATAAAATGAATACCATAAATATACTGGACAATAAAATGAATACCCGATGATAAAATGAATACCATGAATACTTGATCATAAAATGAAAAACAATCTTTTTCGTCAACTATTAAATGTAAACCATTTTTTTCATTACAACTGGATAATATACAAAATCTCTACCTAGTCTCAAGAAGGTAAACAGGTGAGAGGTTCAGATTCCCTGTGCATCCACAAACACAAAGTTACTTTCATTAACCGCTATACAGAGGCGGATCACTGCTCTTGAACCACCAGGGCCCACTTGCACAAAGCGATCTTAGCGCTAAGATGATCTTAACTCCCATACTTTAACATCCGCTTACAATAGTCTTAGCGCTAAGATCATTTTGTGCAAGTGGCCCCAGTGTGTAAGTGGCTAATGAAATGAGGAGTGTAGATGATATATCATCCACATTGCCGTAATTGTGCCAACATTCATTATATAGATATGCCAGCTGTATGTTAACTGAATTATGACACTAGATCTGTCAGCACCTGTGTTCGTGGGTTTCACTGGCATCATTTTCGTCTTTCTTCCCACATCAAGCTGACTCATCATGATATACAGTAAACTAAAGTTATAACAAACTCAAAAGGACCACTTATTTTAGTTTGTTTTGGTAAATGGACGAGACAACACAGTTCCTTATGTCCGTCAGTTCGTTATAAGTGTGTTTGTTATAAACATAGTTTCCTGTAAGTTCAAAACAGTGTTAAACCCAATTCACTAACAGAATGAATAATTTCCACAACAGGAAACAGTATACTTGAAAAGAGTTAGTGTTACATAGCCTGACCTGATAGTTGTTCTTGATGCAGGCGAAGTGTATCGGAGCACGCTTGTTGTCATCGTTGATACAGTCCACGTCTGCTCCAGCATTGACCAGCATATGAATGGTCTTGGGAGAACCTTGAAATGCAGCCAGATGTATTGGTGACACTCCCCGGGGGCCCTTGGTGGCATTTACACTGGCCCCCGCACCCAGCAGCATCTGGAACAGTCCAGTCATACCTCCCTCATACACATCAGAAGGTTTGGTTTGTTTTGCTCATAGCTGGCCACAAAAAAATACCCCCCAAACAATGGTTTGTTTTGCCCATAACAAAAAAAACACACACAAAAACCCACAAAAAACTAATATGTCCAAAAAATGTCTAATTCCCCAAAAGTGAAAAATAAATAAAAAGATAAAAATAATAAAATAATAATATCTAATGTCACTAATCTTTGTGCATCAGACCTTTGAAATATTATCGGTGGTGGCAGTTAAATTTCCCCAAAACATTGAAGCACCCCCGCTTCTCAATTAGTGTCAAGCATGTCTCTGAGTTGAGTGGAATGCACCCTTCACATATACAGAGATGGAGTGAGTGAGTACGGTTTTACGCCACTTTTAGCAATATTCCAGCAATATCATGGCAGGGCACACCGGGGGACACCTCGGATAACTCGAAGTATTTGCGTATGTCCCTTTATTTTCGTAACAACAGTGTTTGACTGGACATTCAATAAACCTCATGTTGACAGTACACTAAGATGCAGAAAATGAACTTTACTGGGTAAGTTCAAACACTACATCCGGGTGCCGTTGCACAAAGCAATCTTAGCGCTAAGTTGATCTTAACTCCCATATCTTAACATAGACTTACGACAATGGCAGCACTTAGGTTGTTTTGTACAACGACACCCTGGGTTTTACTTTACCCATTATGACGTCAAGGTCGAAATACCTGAACGATGGCAGTGTGTCCAAACAAGCAGGCAATATGTAGTGGTGTTTCCTTGCCATTGTCGACAACATGGACATCGGCGCCTGCAGACAGGAGCTCCATGACAACCCCATCGCGACCCCTGCTTACAGCCTCGTGCAGCGGTGTGTATCCTGATGGTGTATCAGATTGTGGTACATATACAGCAGTACAGTTAAGTAATGCCCTCCTCACGTCCAGCTAGCCTCTACATAGCCATTAGCACTGACTCTCCTCCAACATAGACATATTCGACGTAATAAGCACCCAGGCTGCTCTCAAAATTAGAAATAGGGGGCTCTTAGAATATAATTTTGGTGAGAAAAAAACAAACAGATTTGAAAGATTGTAAATTTTGTGGTTTATGCTTACAGCCTGAAATGATACAAAAGAAAAGTTGGTGTGTATTATACATGTCAGTTATATTTTCCAGAATTTCATTGCCCATAATTAAGGGTGCATATAACACATGAGTATATAGGTCTTGCGTACATTGATCAATCGGAAAGGTTGATAATTGGGATTGTTCACTAGCCAATATATTAGCAAATATCGCTGTGGCCGCTTATTAGAGAGGGGCGCTTATTACGTCGAATACGGTAATAATTAATGCAAGGTCAAAGGTATTAAATTCCCTTAGTAGTATGATAAGAACACAGAAAATTAATTACTAGATTTACATTTAAAGTTTCCAAAAAATATTGGACCAATTGCATCATATATTAACTATTTTACTTTTTTAAACAAACTGTAAAAGTCATATGTGCATTACCGTAATCGATAAATAAGTGCCCCTGGAGTTCTCAAAATCAGAAATAGGGGGCTTTTATTAGAATTTTATTTTGGTGAAAAAAAACAGAGTTGAAAGATAAATTTTGTGGTTTATGCTGACAGCCTGAAATGTTTATGTACAACAGATATATTTTTCCAGAATTTAATTGCCAATAATAAAGGGTGTATATATCACACAAGTGCGTATTATACGCAAATAGGGGAAGGAAGCGGTGCATATTATATGCAAAAAGGGGTCGGAAGGGGTGCTAATTGGGATTGTTCAATAGCCGGTATATTAGCAAATCTCGACGTGGGTGCTTATTAGAGCAGGGCGCTTATTACGTCGAATACGGTAATGCACACATGACTTTTACAGTTTGTTTAAAAAAGTAAAATAGTTAATATATAATGCAATTGGTCCAATATTTTTTGGAAACTTTAAATGCAAATCTAGTAATTAATTTTCTGTGTTCTTACGGTAACTGTCGACAGATGAAGCATGGATGGTAGGTGGAACTCTGCATCATGTAATATTTTAAGAAAGAGGGGACCACAAGTAGCAGCTTTCTCAGTGTTTAGTTTGTGAGGTGGGCAGGGATCAGAATCCAGAAATTGAATATCGGAGACCAGGATGAGTGAGTAAGTAAGTATGGTTTTATGCTGCTTTTAGCAATATTCCAGCAAGATCACTGCAGGGCACACCCGAAACGGGCTTCACACATTGTACCCATGTAGGGAATCGAACCTGGGTCTTCGGCGTGACGAGTGAATGCTTTAACCACTAGGCTACCCAACTGCCCCTGGAGATCCAAGATTATGATAATTACTAGTAAGCCTAGAGTATCAAGGGCAGAGTTGGTTGTCCAAGAATGTCACCGAATAAGGACCCATAATATACTCAGTAGCCATTAGGGCCATGCAATCCCCATGAAAATCCAGAACGTATCTGTGACCAACATTCTGCTCCAGGTTGGAATCTAAACTAAACTGATGCCAATATTTGCCTTTATGTATGACCCGACGAGAACCAAAAGATGCCACACAAATAAATACTATAAATTTATTTTCATTTAACCTGTCAGCTCATTTTTGAAATTGATGGAGTAAAAAATGCACACAAAATATCACCAAAAAAGTTTATAAACTTGAATAATGCTGATCAAATGCATACATAGTACATGTAGTATATCCTCCGGCCACTGTAAATATCTTATAAAAAGTACCCTTCTTTTTCATAGACATGTACTTGTTTGTGTAAAAGTGTAAGGTTTGAAACTGGTAAAGAATGAAATCTGTAAATAATTAAACAACAAAAGTGTGTATGACATACATTCAGGAGTCAGGACCTACCATTAAAGCGTTTATGTTTGAGGTTAGCTCCAGCTCGGATGAGGACTTTCACAAGTTCTCTGTCATTGGACTGCACCGCAACAAACAGAGGAGACTTGAGATAGCGATCCAGTGTGTTCACACTACACCCATGTTCGATCAGCATCTTAGCGATACTGGTTCTGCCACACTGGGCCGCAGTGGCTGAAACACATGCATCTTGTCTCACTACCACTAAACCTTGTCGTGTATGACCTATACCCAGTCACAGGTCAACATAGGGTCACACCTTAAAGTACTGATGGCAATTACTGATCAATCATCAATAAAAAATTATGTGTCCTAAGTATAAACATCATTCTACCATTATTTTTCACTGTTTCAATATCTTCATTCACAGGTAGTTCAATTGATGACAATGTCTCTCAATCTGATGTTAAAGAGATTAATCTACATCATGTTCAAATGAAATTTAATTTTTTGAACAAATGAACCAGTAACATGTACAACATGCAAAATGATTTAACAAAATCACTCAAATCATTTTTAGTCCTAATAAAAATACTGTTTTGGTTTGGACTACACTTAGTTTCAAATGAGGGTAAAGGTAGGTTGGCTCTTTTCTTTTTCAAAATGACTGCAACGATGTTGGAGAAGTAGTGTTTTGGTACACATTTTTAAATAAAACATAACCTTAAATTAGAGTTGGTACAAACATCAATGTTCAATGGCCTTAGTAAATCTAAGAGTCCTTCTATTTAACATCCGTGAATGTCCGGAAACGTCTTGGAGGTTTCATCATGATCAGACATCTGGGAGTAAAATAATGCAGTTTCTCAGTTTGATACGACTGTGATAATATCCACCGTTAATGAAGTACAAATAAATAAAACACAGCAAAAAACAAAACAAACTAAATAAAGTAACATAGTAAGAAATATTAAATAGGCTAGTAAGGCTTTTCGTTATCCATAAATGCAAGCCTAATACTAATTACTGAAAAGTATGTTAACCAGGTTAAATTAATCATTTCTTATAACGATATTGAAGGGTAGGGTCGGGTTGGGTAATGGGTTATAGCGAAAATGGCACCTAAGCAAAACGTCACCGGGCGAAAACGGCACCGATTGGTGAAAACGGCACCTCAACACAAGCGAAAATGGCTGCTATTGCCTGGCGAAAACGGCACCTTATTTTTAGACCCCTTCTCCAATTTACTCGCCGACTCTGATTGGTAGGCGCAGTTAACTTATTATGAAAACACTATGCGCTTTGAAGTTTTAAGTACCTTTACTCAATTTAAGCTGAAACTGTATTTAAGAGGCCAAACATGGTGCTGTCAGATCACAATTATTCATGATGGCCTTTCAATGTGTTGCATGCGAGAAGAATGTCAGAAAAAATCAACATGCTGTATCATGTGATAACTGTGGCCCGTAAAAAAGAAATTTGCCAGTCAGAAGAAGACTTCCCTTTCCGCTGTTTGAGATGCGTAGATCCCATCATTGAAGAGGTGATTGGTAACTTTGATGTCAGTTTCCAATCAGAAGATGCAGAAGAAATGAGAGTACCAAACCAGGTACCAGGACAGTGTTGACAGCAATTAAAGTCCGAGTTGAGGTATTAATATGGTTGTTATAACTGATTGGTGTAATTGTTCTCGGTAATTTACAATAAGCTCTCACTTACATGTTGAATAGTTTATTGTTACAGCAGAGTAATTGAACGTATTATGTTTTAGGTAAAGGAACAGATTTCAGATTGCCGAGGACTTCTAAACTGTCCGTGTAAATACATCACATACATCCAATAACATGTAAATACATCAAATACCATGTAAATAAACCATATATATTACTACAAAAATCGTTCTTATCATTATTAGAAATATAGGTGCCGTTTTCACCAAATGCGTAGCCGTTTTTGCCAGAGAAATCGGTGCTGTTTTAGCCTACACCCCTTGTAATAAGGGGATCAGGTACCCAGGTAATAAATTTTGACTCTAACAGAGACAATCGCTCACCTTACACATGGTACTTACCATACCAATAAAAATGTTCAGACATAACCTGGAAATAGACATCAGACAATGGAGGCTAGTTGCCCCTTTTTAAGTTGCTAGCTAAAGAAGAATTACCTAATGGAGACTCGTAGTTGATATCTGCATTCACGTTCATACCACTCTGTAGAAATGTCAAAACCATTTCTTCTTCACCTTGACGAATTGCCTCATGAAACTTGACCACTCTGTCCGATTCCTGAATGGATTCTTCACTCAAACTGGTTCTCTTGAACATGTTGTACCTTTGGGATAAACAGTAATATATGCAGTGATTTGGAACAGAAATAATTTGCTACGTGTTGTGTAGAAATGCATGATATATTGTAAATCTCCATCGGTAAACATGCATATATTTTTTTAATTCGTTCACATACCCTACCTAACATATGCGTTTCGTCTATTTTGAGAATTTAGTCATAATGTAGAGACGATTTCACTTTGAGGAAGCTCAAGCACATGTGAATGTTGTCATGCGAGGTCAAGGTCATTTCCTGCTCGCGTCAAAGGTGCGCTTGGCACCCGTCTATAGAGCCGATGAGCATAATTCTTTCAATCAGTTTTCTTGTTAAAGTGCGCCGTCGCCATGGTGAAAATTTGCTTTGAGAACTATGACCGTCCTCTTCTTTTTAAAGACATTCTAAACCCACAGATCATTAAATCTAAGCGTAATAAAAAGACGGCATTACTGACGTCATGCAAATTTTACGTAACGTGATTATCTAAACCCATTTCATAATTTCCATTCGCACCACAAGTACGCATGTGCGAATCTGTGACCTTCCCCTTACACAGTGTATTTGCAAAATGGCCTCTCTGCTGAACGTACCTGCGAAGTTGGCCCAAACACTGGGCTCAAAGTCTTTGGTATGTGATCCAAGGCATAATTTCGTTTGCGAGAATTTATCGCATATTATGCAAATAATGCTGTCACTTATATATTGTCTGTTAGAAACTAAAGCATGACAAATGAACAAACTGCATAAGGATTTTCGAGCTCTTATACAACGTCCGAGAGTGAAAGTGATGAAAAGTATTCTGTAAACTTGGCATCGTGTGTTGTAGCTTGCAATGTCGATGTGTTTTAATACACTTCATTCACAAACAGTTTGCACTGTTGTATGTAGAATTGTGTTTGAAATCCATGTCATAAACCTGAACATATTTACCCTGACCTGACCTTGATAGTAAACATAAGGTCATTTTTAAGATTTTGCTTTATGGTTCATGGCCATATCAAAGTTTTGGTGATTAATAATAATGTATCCACTTGATGAACAGCCACTTGCCAGGACAGACTTGATGAAATGTATGCACGGTGAATTGATGGACTTGATCAGTTAATGTTTTTGAGTTTGTCATGATTGTTAATCATTGTTAATATGGTTCATTACTGGATATTTAAAAAAGTGGTTACAGTTACACCTAGTCACATTTCTACATAAGATGTGGACCCTCTATCCATCTTGGTTTTCTCTTGTATATTGACCCATAACTTGGCCTAAGTCCTGGTTAGTTGGTCTTCAGCAACACATGCTTGTCGTAAGAGCGACTAACAGGATTGGGTGGTAAGCATAGTCGCCTTTTACAGCAAACCAATTCTACCCCAGACCTTCATGGGTCTGTTTACAGAAGCAGACAGATGATGTCTATCAAAGTTATTCAAACTATTCTATTATCAAAGAAAGAAGTGATTTTCTTTGGTTAGTGATTTAACAAAATGAATGTGATAAAAAGAAGAAGAGTACTTTGTCCTTTTTCTGTTCCACAATACAAATGTGAAAGCAAATTAGAAGAGTTTCTTATTGTATACATGTTTTGGAAAATGTAAGTTCTGTTTCATGATTAAGTTAGTTTGTACTCACTTGTAAACAATTAAGGATGCCTTTAAAATGGAGGTTATCAAGCAATCTTTCTTATGGTCATTGTCACTGTATTTGAGTTTACACATGACATGATTTTATAGCAATAAGTATTTGATTAATTACCTTACCAGGTTTACCCAGTGAAATCTTGTTTATCCTTTGACCAGTCTCAGCTTATAATATATTCTCTGTTTTCATGACCGCCTCCATGGTCTACATGGTCTAGTGGTAGAGCGTCCCCCCGAAGAGGGGAAGGTCCGGGGTTCGATCCCCGTCCACGTCATACCAAAAGACATTAACAGATGGTACTTGTTGTTACCCTGTCTGGCGCTCAGCTTAAAGGGGCTAAAACAAGGACCGGATGGCTCGGAGTTAGTATACTGTGTCTGAGTGGGGTATTCATGTTAAACTGCGGCTTGGTATCTCAGTGGGCTAGCACTATAAATTGGCATCAGTCTGGACTGGTACAAGCACACACATACACACGTGCATGCACGTCGCTATATAAGTGCAATAATCTTGGACGCAACGTTAAACCCAATTTCACCTCACCTCTCCTCTCTGTTTTCATCCTGTCCATATCATCATGATCATTATCAGTTTTGATCTCTTGTGAATTTCAATTTTCTTAGACATGTTTGATTGCATTTGGTGGAGGTCTACAAATGATATGTACTGTTTTGATGTATTTTCAGTTAGGCCACCTATCCAAACCCCTTGCAGCCTCCTCCAGGGACTTCCACTTCAAGATCCATGGCCGGAACACAGATGCCAAAGTCTCAAACTCTTCACAGGTATTACTCTCATCATTCTAATAGTCCATGGGACCGCCTCCGTGGTCTAGTGGTAGAGCGACAACCTGGAGAGCGGAAGATCTGGGGTTCGATCCCCGGCCGCATCATACCAAAAGACGTTAAAAGATGGTACTTGTTGTTACCTTGTCTGGCGCTCGGCATTAAGGGGCTAAAACAAGGACTGGTCGGCTCGGTGTATACTGTGTTAAACTGGCATGGTATCTCAGTGAGCTAGCACTATAAATCGGCATCAGTCCACAGTAGTACAAGCAGCCACACACGTGCATGCACGTCGCTATATAAGTGCAATAATCTTGGATGCGACGTTAACCCAATTTCACCTCACCTCACTAAATAGTCCATGGGACATGGATGGCCAAATCATGTAAAGCACTGCAATTCATTTTGCAGAGTTGCTTCCCTTATGCATGCCATAAACCTATGATCGTGGGTCAGAATCCCGGTTATATTTCTAGGTCTGTCAGCCCCATACCCTTGCTTCTGGGTTTCACCAATGTGGAAAACATCTGAGACCTGCGTCACTTCAGCTGTCCTACATCCAGCTTACTTTCTTTGATATAACGGAAATACTGACCAGAGAGGCGTTAAACCAAACTCTAACTGTGCCAAAACAAATCTTGTCAACATGTTCATTACATTGGCCTAACCTGTAGACCTATTAACTAATCTCACTACGTGCATAAATGGAAATTGTACTTTTGTACACTTGAAATAGAATCACGCAATACTGTGACTAATACTTAACTAGGATAGCTGTATGTCTAATACTTATAAATGAAACCAAGCCATTCCTGTGATAAGGAATATATCTCACTGGAAGGACAAAATTTGCAAAATGCATATTTCAAGAAATTTCCATTTTGCTTGCAGTAAACATCATCATTGAGTTTTGATCACATTGTTACGGATCAGCATTCATGTGACTGTGAGCAGTTATGTTTAGCAATGTATGCAGAACTAGGTTGTCTCCTGACATGTTATGGTGAGGATTACTTCGGCTGTAAAACAACATTCACCTCTTAGTTTTTTAGTTTGTCTGAAAAATTCTGAGAACAGTTTTAGACTGTTTCAGTTAGTTGAGATGTTTGCTGCTCTGTCCAGATATCCCGTGACTACCCCGTGATTGACCACCAGTACGATGCCGTGGTGGTGGGAGCTGGTGGGGCGGGACTGCGGGCTGCTTTCGGCCTGGCCAATGAAGGGTTCAAGACAGCTTGCATCACCAAGTTGTTCCCCACCAGATCACATACAGTTGCAGCCCAGGTTTGTGTTACTGTGTAGCCATTTTGATTTTCATTAGTTGGTTTATGAATCAACTGATATAAAGAAAACCTTATTTGAGAAGAATAAAAGATGTTTAACAAAATATTTAGCCCTACTCAGTTTCATAATTATGTGGTGTCCCAAGAACATGTTAATATTGAAATATATAACTGTTTTGAGAACAAAATCACTGCTGTTTACAAACTAAATTTGAGTGGTTTTGTTTGTACTCTTAAAAATGTATAACCAGTCTGTTAGGTAAAGTGAACAAAAACTTATAAAACATTTTGAAGAAATTGGCTGGTATAGCATATCTCATTGGAGTGAAAGATTCATCGTGTTGGTTGACCTTGGACATACCTGAATTTGTGCGTGTATTGTTCTAGGGTGGTATCAATGCTGCCCTCGGACATATGGAGGAGGACAACTGGCGCTGGCACTTCTATGACACTGTGAAGGGATCTGATTGGCTGGGAGACCAGGACGCCATACACTACATGTGTGAGGAGGCACCAAAAGCTGTCATCGAGGTAACTGTACTGTTGTCCATTAAGTTGGTGACAATAAGAAAATAGTTAGTGATCATGTTAGATGAAGTCAAACCATGTTTCATCTTATTTTGTTTCATCAGTAACTGCCAGAGACGAGGCATTTGCAGTGTTCAATATCATGAGGTGTTCTGGGGTTTCTGTGGTTGCCTTTATAGTATTTAGAACCTAAGGACCTAAATTTTTAACTTTTATATTTAGAGGTATGACAAGGATCCTATTACTTTTGGCTTAATTTTGAACACTACATTAGTATATACTATCTCCACTGGTTTGTTTTAACCTTGTGTGTTGTTTATGTTCCTGTGCTACACGGTAAAGGCACACAGTGTCTGGAGTTGTCTCCACTTGGTACCTTCAACCATGAGGCTATCTTGACCTCATTCTGCTGTTGTTGACATATTTCGTGGATTAATGTTTTTTTCTGTATTTTTGCATAGTTGGAGAACTATGGTATGCCCTTCAGTCGATTAGAGAATGGCAAGATCTATCAGCGGGCGTTCGGAGGTCAGAGTCTCAAGTTTGGCAAGGGTGGTCAGGCTCACCGCTGCTGCTGTGTTGCGGACCGTACCGGCCACTCTCTCCTCCACACACTTTACGGCAGGGTGAGTGTCTTGTAGGGAGCCGTCCTAGCTGAGCCTTGGAAGTCATGAAATGTGTACTTTGTGTACTGACTCCAAGTTTATGATGTGTATAGTTTGATCAAGTGGTTAAATATTACCCTAAATACTGCATGTCTCAGTTTCACACCTGATGTACATCACTTTGTTTATATCTATACTGGACACATATTTTACATTACATGTATTTTGAATTGGTTTCAGTCTTTGAAGTATGATACCAACTACTTCATTGAGTATTTCGCTCTGGATCTTATCATGGAGGGAGGAGAGTGTCGTGGAGTTACTGCCCTTTGTTTGGAAGATGGTACAATCCATAGATTCCATTCCAAGAATACTATCATAGCTACTGGGTGAGTTGACTATCATTGCTACTGGGTGAGTTTACTATCATAGCTACTGGTTTGAGTTGACTATCATAGCTACTGGGTGAGTTTACTATCATTGCTACTGGGTGAGTTTACTATCATTGCTACTGGGTGAGTTGACTGTCATTGCTAGTGGGTGAGTTTACTATCATAGCTACTGGGTGAGTTTACTATCATTGCCAGTGGGTGAGTTGACTGTCATTGCTACTGGGTGAGTTTACTATCATTGCTACTGGGTGAGTTGACTGTCATTGCTACTGGGTGAGTTGACTGTCATTGCCACTGGGTGAGTTGACTGTCATTGCAACTGGGTGAGTTGACTGTCATTTCTACTGGGTGAGGGTACTGTCATTGCTGCTGGGTGCGATTACTGTCATTGCTGCTGGGTGAGGGTACTGTCATTGCTACTGGGTGAGGGTACTGTCATCGCTACTGGGTGAGTTTACTATCATAGCTACTGGGTGAGTTGACTGTCATTGCTACAGGGTGCGGTTACTGTCATTGCAACTGGATGAGGGTACTGTCATTGCTGCTGGGTGCGGTTACTGTCATTTCTACTGGGTGAGGGTACTGTCATTGCTGCTGGGTGCGGTTACTGTCATTGCTGCTGGGTGAGGGTACTGTCATTGCTGCTGGGTGAGGGTACTGTCATTGCTGCTGGGTGAGGGTACTGTCATTGCTGCTGGGTGAGTTGACTGTCATTGCAACTGGGTGAGTTGACTGTCATTGCTGCTGGGTGAGGGTACTGTCATTTCTACTGGGTGAGGGTACTGTCATTGCTGCTGGGTGAGGGTACTGTCATTGCTGCTGGGTGAGTTGACTGTCATTGCAACTGGGTGAGGGTACTGTCATTGCTGCTGGGTGAGGGTACTGTCATTTCTACTGGGTGAGGGTACTGTCATTGCTGCTGGGTGAGGGTACTGTCATTGCTGCTGGGTGAGGGTACTGTCATTGCTGCTGGGCGCGGTTACTATCATAGCTACTGGGTGAGTTGACTGTCATTGCAACTGGGTGAGGGTACTGTCATTGCTACTGGGTGAGTTGACTGTCATTGCTACTGGGTGAGTTGACTGTCATTGCAACTGGGTGAGGGTACTGTCATTGCTACTGGGTGAGTTGACTGTCATTGCTACTGGGTGAGTTGACTGTCATTGCAACTGGGTGAGGGTACTGTCATTGCTACTGGGTGAGATGACTGTCATTGCTACTGGGTGAGTTGACTGTCATTGCTACTGGGTGAGTTGATTATCATAGCTACTGGGTGAGTTTACTATCATAGCTACTGGGTGAGTTGACTGTCATAGCTACTGGGTGAGTTTACTATCATTGCTAATGGGTGTTTACTATCATAGCTACTGGGTGAGTTGACTATCATTGCTACTGGGTGAGTTGACTGTCATTGCAACTGGGTGAGTTGACTGTCATTGCTGCTGGGTGCGGTTACTGTCATTGCTACTGGGTGAGTTTACTATCATAGCTACTGGGTGAGGGTACTGTCATTGCTGCTGGGTGAGGGTACTGTCATAGCTACTGGGTGAGTTTACTATCATAGCTACTGGGTGAGTTTACTATCATAGCTACTGGGTGAGTTGACTATCATTGCTACTGGATGAGTTTACTGTCATTGCTACAGGGTGAGTTTACTATCATCGCTACTAGGTGAGTTTACTATCATAGCTACTGGGTGAGTTTACTATCATAGCTGCTGGGTGAGTTTACTATCATAGCTACTGGGTGAGTTTACTATCATAGCTACTGGGTGAGTTTACTATCATAGCTACTGGGTGAGTTGACTGTCATTGCGTCTGGGTGAGTTGACTATCATTGCTACTGGATGAGTTTACTGTCATTGCTACTGGGTGAGTTTACAATCATCGCTACTCGGTGAGTTTACTATCATAGCTACTGGGTGAGTTGACTGTCATTGCTACTGGGTGCGGTTACTGTCATTGCAACTGGATGAGGGTACTGTCATTGCTGCTGGGTGCGGTTACTGTCATTTCTACTGGGTGAGGGTACTGTCATTGCTGCTGGGTGCGGTTACTGTCATTTCTACTGGGTGAGGGTACTGTCATTGCTGCTGGGTGAGTTGACTGTCATTGCTACTGGGTGAGGGTACTGTCATTGCTGCTGGGTGAGGGTACTGTCATTTCTACTGGGTGAGGGTACTGTCATTGCTGCTGGGTGAGGGTACTGTCATTGCTACAGGGTGCGGTTACTGTCATTGCTGCTGGGTGAGGGTACTGTCATTGCTGCTGGGTGCGGTTACTGTCATTTCTACTGGGTGAGGGTACTGTCATTGCTGCTGGGTGAGGGTACTGTCATTTCTACTGGGTGAGGGTACTGTCATTGCTGCTGGGTGAGGGTACTGTCATTGCTACAGGGTGCGGTTACTGTCATTTCTACTGGGTGAGGGTACTGTCATTGCTACTGGGTGAGGGTACTGTCATTGCTGCTGGGTGAGGGTACTGTCATTGCTGCTGGGTGAGGGTACTGTCATTGCTGCTGGGTGAGTTGACTGTCATTGCAACTGGGTGAGGGTACTGTCATTGCTACTGGGTGAGTTGACTGTCATTGCTACTGGGTGAGTTGACTGTCATTGCAACTGGGTGAGGGTACTGTCATTGCTACTGGGTGAGATGACTGTCATTGCTACTGGGTGAGTTGACTGTCATTGCTACTGGGTGAGTTGATTATCATAGCTACTGGGTGAGTTTACTATCATAGCTACTGGGTGAGTTGACTGTCATAGCTACTGGGTGAGTTTACTATCATTGCTAATGGGTGTTTACTATCATAGCTACTGGGTGAGTTGACTATCATTGCTACTGGGTGAGTTGACTGTCATTGCAACTGGGTGAGTTGACTGTCATTGCTGCTGGGTGCGGTTACTGTCATTGCTACTGGGTGAGTTTACTATCATAGCTACTGGGTGAGGGTACTGTCATTGCTGCTGGGTGAGGGTACTGTCATAGCTACTGGGTGAGTTTACTATCATAGCTACTGGGTGAGTTTACTATCATAGCTACTGGGTGAGTTGACTATCATTGCTACTGGATGAGTTTACTGTCATTGCTACAGGGTGAGTTTACTATCATCGCTACTAGGTGAGTTTACTATCATAGCTACTGGGTGAGTTTACTATCATAGCTGCTGGGTGAGTTTACTATCATAGCTACTGGGTGAGTTTACTATCATAGCTACTGGGTGAGTTTACTATCATAGCTACTGGGTGAGTTGACTGTCATTGCGTCTGGGTGAGTTGACTATCATTGCTACTGGATGAGTTTACTGTCATTGCTACTGGGTGAGTTTACTATCATCGCTACTCGGTGAGTTTACTATCATAGCTACTGGGTGAGTTGACTGTCATTGCTACTGGGTGCGGTTACTGTCATTGCAACTGGATGAGGGTACTGTCATTGCTGCTGGGTGCGGTTACTGTCATTTCTACTGGGTGAGGGTACTGTCATTGCTGCTGGGTGCGGTTACTGTCATTTCTACTGGGTGAGGGTACTGTCATTGCTGCTGGGTGAGTTGACTGTCATTGCTACTGGGTGAGGGTACTGTCATTGCTGCTGGGTGAGGGTACTGTCATTTCTACTGGGTGAGGGTACTGTCATTGCTGCTGGGTGAGGGTACTGTCATTGCTACAGGGTGCGGTTACTGTCATTGCTGCTGGGTGAGGGTACTGTCATTGCTGCTGGGTGCGGTTACTGTCATTTCTACTGGGTGAGGGTACTGTCATTGCTGCTGGGTGAGGGTACTGTCATTTCTACTGGGTGAGGGTACTGTCATTGCTGCTGGGTGAGGGTACTGTCATTGCTACAGGGTGCGGTTACTGTCATTTCTACTGGGTGAGGGTACTGTCATTGCTACTGGGTGAGGGTACTGTCATTGCTGCTGGGTGAGGGTACTGTCATTGCTGCTGGGTGAGGGTACTGTCATTGCTGCTGGGTGAGTTGACTGTCATTGCAACTGGGTGAGTTGACTGTCATTGCTGCTGGGTGAGGGTACTGTCATTTCTACTGGGTGAGGGTACTGTCATTGCTGCTGGGTGAGGGTACTGTCATTGCTGCTGGGTGAGTTGACTGTCATTGCAACTGGGTGAGGGTACTGTCATTGCTGCTGGGTGAGGGTACTGTCATTTCTACTGGGTGAGGGTACTGTCATTGCTGCTGGGTGAGGGTACTGTCATTGCTGCTGGGTGAGGGTACTGTCATTTCTACTGGGTGAGGGTACTGTCATTGCTGCTGGGTGAGGGTACTGTCATTGCTACAGGGTGCGGTTACTGTCATTGCTGCTGGGTGAGGGTACTGTCATTGCTGCTGGGTGCGGTTACTGTCATTTCTACTGGGTGAGGGTACTGTCATTGCTGCTGGGTGCGGTTACTGTCATTGCTACTGGGTGAGGGTACTGTCATTGCTACTGGGTGAGTTGACTGTCATTACAATCATCCCGAGATGAGAATGCATGTCATCGATCCCAATTGCGTGGATCGATGCTCATGATATTAATCACTGGATTGTCTGGTCCAGACTTGATTATTTACAGACCGCCGTCATATATCTGTAATATTGCTGAGTGCAGCGTTAAACAACAAACCAACCAACCAACCTTATTTACCCGTATTACTACATCAACATGTTTCAGGGGATATGGGCGTACCTACTTCTCGTGCACATCTGCTCACACCTGTACAGGGGACGGCACAGCTATGGTGAATCGCGCAGGACTGGCTAATGAGGACATGGAGTTTGTGCAGTTCCACCCCACAGGTCAGTTCAACACTAGGGGCGGTCGGGTAGCCTAGTGGTTAAGGCGTTCACTCGTTACGCCAAAGACCCGGGTTCGATTCCCGACCTTGGTACAATGTGTGAAGCCCATTTCTGGTGTCCCCCGCCGTGATATTGCTGGAATATTGCTAAAAGCGGCATAAAACCATACTCACTCACTCAGTTCAACACTAGACATCACTGCCACCTAACATGATGTGGCACATGAATTGGTAAACGACCCTTGCATTACCCTGTGGTGGTCAGTCTCTTTCAGATGTGGTTGGTAGGATGAAATATCAATAAATTGCTGATAGGATGAATAAAAAAAGAATTGTATTAGCATTTACGTTTGGGGTGAACCATGTACTAAATGTAATGAAATCAAAGCGTTACTTCCCTTCCTATGTCCATCTACAGCACGGAAAGTTCAATGTTGTTTTGATGGGTATGGGTTGCGTAAGGTGTCACCACTGGCTGTTCAAACACTTGGTTGTCAGCTTCGTGTCCATGCTTGCGAGTTGTCCACATTGATAAGCATTATTCATATTGGCCTCACCTGCTGCATTAGGCTGACACATCTGATCGTAAGAGGTGACTAACGGGATTGGGTGGTCCGGCTCACTGACTTGGTTCATCCCAATTGCGATGTTCATGATGTCAATCACTAGATTGTCTGGTCCAAACTCGATTCTTTACAGACCGCTGTCATATAGCTGGAATATTGCTGAGTGCGGCATTAAACAACAAACAAACAAACATCTGATGTAGCTGGGGGCGGTCGGGTAGCCTAGTGGTTAAAGCGTTGGCTCGTCACGCCAAAGACCCAGGTTCGATTCCCGACATGGGTACAATGTGTGAAGCCCATTTCTGGTGTCCCCCGCCGTGATATTGCTAAAAGCGGCGTAAAACCATACTCACTCACTCACTCTGATGTAGCTGAAATACTGTTGACAGCAATGTGAAGCACATCTTACTCACTCCACATGCTCAAGCTGATGTAGCAATGTGATGTTACAATTCCAGACTGATTGCCTTGTGTTTGCCGCACGTACAGGAGTGGGAGGCGTAGAATAAGTCCCCAGCAGCCAGTGCTTCTTTAGAGGGCCTCTGAGGCAGTCAGTGACTCTTCTGATTGAGTGACATTGTACACAGGCATAGGGCTTTGCACATAATTTCAACCACTGGTTTGTGTGGCCATACCTATTTATTTACAGGGCACTTTGTTAAAGCTGAAATATTGCTGGAAAAGTTAAACAACAAACCAACTTGTTAGTCTCAGATGGTGATCCTCCTGTGTGTACAAGTGCTTGTGTACCCACAGGTATCTACGGCGCTGGGTGTCTGATCACAGAAGGATCTCGGGGGGAGGGGGGATACCTTGTCAACTCGGAGGGAGAGCGCTTCATGGAGAGATATGCTCCCACAGCCAAAGATCTGGCCTCTCGCGATGTTGTGTCCAGGTCTATTACTCTTGAAATCCGAGAGGGAAGGTAAGAAAACAACTCAGTGCATTTTCACTGCGCAGCATTATTTTGACGATTTAATCATCATTGGTGCAAGTAGTTTATATTTTTATGATTCAGTCACAACTTGTGCAATTGGGGATATTTTGAAGATTGGGTGAAGTAAATAATATTTAAAAATTCAGTCACCATTGGTGCTAGTAGGTGTTCCTGCTGTCCTGAAGGACACCTTTAACATGTGGCAGATTGCCTTGGTGTATAGGCGAATACCCAGTCAGGGGGTAGGCCCCGAGAAGGACCTTCTATTGTTACCATGGTGATAGGGGTGTAGGCCCAGGGAGCTCCATGTGTCACTGATGGTTGTTGTTTTGGTTCCCATGGTTAAAGGGGTGAAGGCCCAGAGAATGACCATGCGTCACTGATTGCTATTGTGGTGGCTGCCATGGTTACATCGACATAGGCCGAGGGAAGCTCAATGTATCACTGATGACAGTTGTGTTGGTTACCATGGTTGCAGGGGTGTAGCCCCAGAGAAGCTCCATGTATCACCCATGACTGTTGTTGGTTACCATAGTTACAGGCGTAGGCCCAGCTCCTTGTATCACTGATTACTGTTGTTGGTTACCTTGGTTACAGGGGTGTAGGCCCAGAGAAGGACCACGTGTTCCTACAGCTCCACCATCTGCCACCAGATGTCCTCAAGGCTCGTCTCCCTGGCATCTCCGAGACTGCCATGATCTTTGCGGGAGTAGATGTGACGCGGGAACCTATCCCTGTCCTGCCTACTGTTCACTACAACATGGGAGGAGTCCCCACCAACTACAAGGGACAGGTAGGTGTAGTACAGGGAGGCTTCAGTCCCAGCTATCAGACGGACATGTAGAGGGACACCTACCAGTGTAGTTTGTGATAGGAATACCTACAAATGTTGTAAAATGTGTTATGTCACATATTCTCCATACAGATTAATTCTTCTATTTTTTTAACTTATCTCTCCACAACAGTATGCAATATTCCTTCTTGCTTCGATAATATAACAGTGTAGAACAATGTAAAAGAGTCACCGGAACACGCCCTCCGACCACCTTCTTCCCAGCATACTCCTGTACTACTCGTCACTTTTTCCTTCATCGCCCGTGGTAAACAGACGTATTTTGCTTCAGCTCCACATTTGCCATTGCATCGGTTTTGTCATTTTGGTTTGACTTTGATTTATCATCCTTAGTGAATCGTTATTTTGGCTCCTTGGTTGTTATTTATCAATAAATATAATCAAATGGCTACTTATCTTCCTCACACATGTTCTTTCCCTGCCATTGCTCTGAAATCAGCCCAGGACTCCCATCAGTCTGTGCCCCAAGTGCTGGGTCCCCAGCACTTTTGAGCAACATTGCGCCAATTGTGCACACTTATCCCCCGATGTTTTCAATGTTTACCTAGAATTCATATCACCAACGTTGTGGCTTGGGATTAAGATGCTCTCAAGTGGAATGGCCAAGCGTATGTGTTTACACCTCCAGCCGTCCTTCCCCGAGTTCTACAGAAACTGGCATCCACAGTGAACATCCAGATTCTTGTGGTAGCGCCTTATTAGTCCAGTCGGACATGGTTCCCCCGTCCCCCTGGTCTGCTCAGGAATCCACACACTCGTCAACCACATCCATGCCCAGAGTCTTGGGATCTACGTTGTTCTACACTGTTATATGATTGAAGCTAGAAGGAATATTGCATACTGTTGTGTCAGGATAAGTATAAACATAAGGTGAATACTCTGATTCCCTATTTTGACTGGAACCAACTGCTTTGAAGCTTTCTCTATTCGTGAAAATGCTGGAATTTTCTGTTATTTGTATTACAGAGTGTAGTCACCTCATTTGATGCTTTCATAAATCACTTAAAAATGTTAAACTTTATCATGTGTTTATGTTTGAATTTTTCCAAATGAATCTGCCTGCATGTTAAATCTGAAATGACCACACTGCATCACTGATCTCTGAACACCATTACAGGTGGTGCAGTACACAAGGGAGTCTGGTGACCGTGTGGTACCGGGCCTGTATGCCTGTGGTGAAGCGGCATGTGCGTCGGTGCACGGAGCTAACCGTCTTGGCGCCAACTCCCTCCTCGATCTGGTCGTATTTGGCCGAGCCTGTGCCAACACCATCATTGAAGAGAACAGACCAGGGGAGCCTATTGGTCCCATCAGTCAGAATGCTGGCGAAGCCTCCGTAGCTAATGTGGACAAAGTCCGATACTCCGATGGAAGTGTCCCCACAGCGGACCTTCGACTCAAGATGCAGAAGGTTTGTGTTTATGGCAGCATTGCACAGGAACTCTTAGACATATTGAATCAAGCATATGACGTGTACCTATATGATCCATTGATCAGTTATTGTTTTAAATAATTAGGATTTTTTTAATATCAGTTTGTTTGTTTTTTTGCTCACTTTAACTAAGTCAGTGTGAACTTATGTCATGGGTCTCAGTCTATTGTCATCCATCCTTTAGCAATGAACTTAAAACTCTTCTCTCCTCCACAATATATTGAAAATATCAACATCATATTCACACAACGTGTTCTACGTTCCATTGGCTACAGCCATGTCAAAGTTCAGAATGACCGCTGCAGCAGCTCAGTTTAATTTTAAAAATATTATAGCCTTTTTTTCATAATTCTTTCTGATTGTAGGATACTGTACCAAACATTTTTTAATATCTATTTGTACAACATTTTGGTGTTTTTGGTCTATGAAAGTTCTATGCCATAATGTTTGGTAACAAAATCAGCACATTCAGCACATCTTCACTCAACATGTTGAAGTGTTAATTGATCCAATAATAGTGATCTTCTTTACCTCTGGTAAAATATATTGCATATTGGTGAAAAAGATGTTTTTTAATTCATTTCTATTTTATTTTCTGTTGATTGTATTTAGTTCCATTTATTTCATTAATTAATCCAATATGTATTCAAATGTTTATTTGCACATCATATAAGGGAATATAAAAACACATTAAAACTTTGCATAACGACAATTTTGGTACATAGTTTTCCTTGAGACAAGCGGATAATGATACACAGACGATGTATTGTATGAGGTACATATTTTCCACAGAGGACCGCCTCCATGGTCTAGTGGTAGAGCGTCCGCCCGGAGAGCGGAAGGTCCAGGGTTCGATCCCGGGCCGCGTCATACAAAAAGACGTTAAAAGATTGTACTTATTGTTACCCTGTCTGGCGCTCGGCATTAAGGGGCTAAAACAAGGACTGGTCGGCTCGGAGTCAGTATACTGTGTCTGAGTGGGGTATTCATGTTAAACTGCGGCATGGTATCTCAGTGAGCTAGCACTATAAATCGGCATCAGTCCGGACTAGTACAAGCAGCCACACACACACATACACGTGCATGCACGTCGCTATATAAGTGCAATAATCTTGGACGCGACGTTAAACCCAATTTCACCTCACCTCACCTATTTTCCACAGAACATGCAATCGTATGCCAGTGTGTTCCGTGATGGCAGCTCACTGGAGGAAGGCTGCAGGAAGATGGAGGAGGTATACAAGGAGATGGAGGACTTGAAGGTGAGTAGTGGCCTGAACACTCTGGCATTTACTCTAGGTGGGTCACATATAGGGAAATAACTATTTATTGATGCACTGGTTAATTAAAATAGATTTTGACGAATACGACACATGTAAAGCTTAAACGAGAACCTGTACCCCTCCTGCAATAGTACACATGATGTACCACCAGTCAGATCGACGACTGGGCTCTGTCCAATATGCTGGGGACACCTTGCTGTGCTTTCAGTATAGAAGGGAGTGCTCGGAAGAGGAGCAATAACGTAAAGCTGTGCCTGTATAAAAAGTACCAAAAGAAAATGTTATGGTGTGACAAATAAACTAGAGACTATATGTCCTTGTAAAATGTGTAAAAAACTCGGGACCTTCTTATATTGTGTTTACGTCACAGAAGACCTGTGAAGATCCGGGGTAGAATAGGTCTTCAGCAACCCATGCTTGCCATAAAAGGCAACTATGCTTGTCGTAAGAGGCGACTAACGGGATGAGGTGGTCAGGCTCGCTGACTTGGTTGATGCATGTCATCGTGTCCCAATTGCGATCACAGGATTTTCTGGTCCAGGCTCGATAATTACAGACCACCGTCATACAGCTGGAATATTGCTGAGTGGCGTTAAACAACAAACAAACTGAACTTGAGCACTTGTATGGTCCTGACAAACCAAGAAACAATCAGGGATTTTTGTGATTGAAACCCACAATCATCTGGCATGCCTCAGGAACACATCACTGCACAGTGAACTGTGGCACCTTACATGGCTCAGGCTCGTTGGCTTGGTGGTCAGGCTCGTTGACTTGGTTGATACATGTCATCGTATCCCAATTGCGTGAATCAATGCTCATGATATCAATCACTGGATTGTCTGGTCCAGACTCGATTATTTACAGACTGCCGTCATATAGCTTGAATATTGCTGAGTGCGGCATTAAACAACAAACAAACAAACAAAACGTCACAGAAATGACCATACTCTCGGACAATGCAGAATTACGGTTACGTCCCTTTCATGGTTCCGTTGTCATGACAACTCGGTTGAATGCAACCCCTGCCAACATCAGTTTGGTTTTGAATAAGAGCGCCCAAAGTGAAGTGTGGATTCTGGTTTTGTGGCATCCCTGAAACAATGCATTTCAATACCTGCTGTTGTTCACCCATTTACCTGCCTCCAGGTGTCTGACCGAGGTCTGATCTGGAACACGGACTTGGTGGAGACGCTGGAACTCCAGAACTTGATGCTTAATGCTGTCCAGACAATCGTGTCTGCTGAGCGGAGGAAGGAGAGCCGGGGAGCCCATGCCAGGGAAGACTTCCAGGTGAGCTATAGTGTTGGACACATGTTGCTTGATAAGCTACCAGGTGAGCTATAGTGTTGGACACATGTTGCTTGATAAACTTCCAGGTGAGCTATAGTGTTGGACACATGTTGCTTGATAAGCTACCAGGTGAGCTATAGTGTTGGACACGTTACTTGGTAAACTTCAAGAGGAGCGTAACTGTCAGACACATGTTGCTTGATAAGCTTCCAGGTGAGCTATAGTGTCGGACTCATGTATTTCTTTAGCTATAGGGATTCAATTCATAAATTTTGGTGTTTTTAAAAATATATTACATGTTGACCATGCTTTTGTATTCTCTGAAAAGTTGTAATTTTGAATATATATGGTCTGCGTTGAGGTTGCATTACACTGACTACTCAAATACATGTAATAAGAACTCCAACTTCTCATCCAGGTCCGACTTGATGAATACGACTACAGTAAGCCAATTGAGGGTCAGAAGATGAAGGCCTTTGATGACCACTGGAGGAAACACACTCTCTCATATGTTGATGCTGATACTGGGAAAGTAGGTATCAGCCCCATGGTGACCTGGATTAAAATATGTCCTCCAGACATATATTACTTGTCTCTTCTTGTAGTCCTGGGTTAGAATATGTCCCAGCTGTCTATTATTTGTCTTTATGTGGTGACTGGGTTGGAATAGGTCCCAGCTGTCTATTGCTTGTCTCTATGTGGTGACTGGGTTGGAATAGGTCCCAGCTGTCTATTGCTTGTCTCTATGTGGTGACTGGGTTGGAATAGGTCCCAGCACTACAAGTTGTAGCAGTATCACACTTGGTTCATGTGGTTTGATGTGTCCTATTTCCCTAACGTTGGATGCATAAAACCACATGGACCCCGAGTTATCCTGCTACAACTAATTCATCTAACTGACATGTTTTAATCTGCCATTGTAAAAAAATTAAAACAAATTCAAAATCGATAGAAAACAGCCGGTTGATGGATCTGAGGTTAACTTGTGATGTCACATGACTTCCATTGACTCGAAGCAGGGTATAAGGGATTTAATCTCCTACTCAGAAATCCATGTGCAGCCTGTTTATTAGTGGCAGGGTATAAAGGATTTAATCTCCCACTCAGAAATGTATTTTCCTCTCAGGCGGGATACAGAGCTTACAGAGGATACAGATCATGTGAACCAATCAGATCTCATCAATATTTAACATGGAGGTGTCATTATATTAATTGTCACTCTGTGAGGACCTAGGCTGGAATACGTCCCCTGCTTTCATAGTATTTTTACTTGTCACACAATCGGGACGTGGGTTGGAATATTTCCCCAGTACTATTGTCACCCTTTGGACTTTGGTAAGATAGATCCCCAGCCCTTTGTTGGAATGTGTTGTAAGAGGCACCACATTGAATCAGGTGTTCAGACTGATGTGTATGTATTTGCAGGTGACAATAGACTACAGGCCTGTGAAAGATGAAACGCTCAATGCTCAGGATTGTCCCATGGTAGAGCCAGCAGTCAGGTCATACTAGGAACAAACACAGTTTACAGTGATGGTAAGGAAATGGTTTGAGTGACACACTAAGCATAACCGTCCAATCAAATTACATGATCTTACTCACCTTCTTGTGTACAAAGGGGCGGTGGGGTAGCCTAGTGGTTATGGCGTTCGCTCGTCACGCTGAAGACCCGGGTTCGATTCCCCACATGGGCACAATGTGTGAAGCCCATTTCTAAAAGCGGCATAAAATCATACTCACTCACTCTTGTGTACGAACTCAAAGCAAAGACAGGTAACTCCTGACGGCATAAGGACGACCTTCCAAAATTTATTCATCAGGAGAACAAGTAAATGTTCTTTTTATTGGTCATTTGATTCAAATATGTATATTGAGGCTCGCTCATTCAAGGCTGTGATTTATGATGTAGCTGCATGCTGGACTCTTGTTTAGAAGAATTATCTTAATTATACCCCCGACCTTATAGGTCGGGTGTATATATAGTTATACCAAGATTCCGTCTGTCCGTCTGTCCGTCCGAAAACTTTGTCCCCGCAATTTCTCTTAAACTATTCAGTGGATTCATCTCAAACTTAGTACAATTAATCTGTGTCATATGGAGGGGTGCAGTCAAAAGAAAAAAAATTGTTTTTATTAATTTTCCATTTTTTAATGAATTTTTCAAACCCTAACCCAATCCATTATTCAATTTGAAACTACTGACACACTTGGCAGGTCGGGGGTATTAGTGAGCCACGCTCACTTTTGCCCTTGTTGGTTGTTGATTTCACGCCCATAACAAGAAACTCAGCCCTAAGTGATCTGTTGGTGACTAGTGAGATGGAGATCGGCGGTATAAACTAATAGTTTTAGTCCCCTTGTCCTTATAATGATAACAAATAGCAAAATCTTTAAAAAGGGCACATTTCTACTAGTCCTTATGATACCTTAACTGTTGAGCAGTTTGATGGACTACAGGACCAATTTCTAATGCTCGAGATGGTGGCATCACGTGCAAGCAAAGCTATGGTGGCGAATAGGTCAAGGCTAGTTATCATTATAGAATACAGTTATAATACACTGGATAATGAGGGATGATCCTTGGATTTCTAGAAAGTGGACAGTATACTGCATAAAGCATTCTCTTGTATTTCAGATCAGGTTGTCGACAAGTGTCGACTCATCCCAGTGCCATTGAGAGCGTTCCTTAAAGGCAAAACAGCTGATTGGGTTTGAAACAGCTGACTTAATACTGATGCAACTGACTGGGATGTAGACACTGCCGCATGTTTAGCTCTTGTATACCCTATGTTGCCGTCATGCTTGCTGACGCTTTCATGTCAACCAATGCTGGAGAATAATTGTTATAATTACTGTTTGTGATGAAAGTCGGTTGATAATGAAAGTCGGTTGATAATGAAAGTCGGTTGATCTATGAAGATGTGAAAATGTTACAGGATTGATCATGTGGTGCATGAAACTTGTTTGTACATATTTATTGTGGAATACATTCATTCATATGTAAATAAAGTGTCCGAGTTTTGTGTCATGTACTGAAAGACAGCAGCCTTGCAGGAGATTCTCTCACATGATCACAAACTTGTAGTGGAACTACTGTGACCCTTTTCCCTGTGTATACAGTTAGGAGTTAGGAGTACCTGTCTTCATTGAGGCTAGGTAATTGTCTGATGTTAAGAAACTTTTCATTCAATGTACACATATTAATAATAATAATAGCAACAACAATAATAGTCATTTGTCACATGCTAACATCCGTCTACTCGGTAGTTGTTCATAGCATTACATAGGGGTTGTGCAGTACACTTTACTGAAGAGATGGGCTTCCAAGTTTGATTTGAAGGAGACTTGGAGGAAAGAAGATAGCCTGATGGACTGTGGTAAAGTGTTCTATAACAGATTAGGAAAAGGATCAGGAACCAAAAGACTGTTAGGGCTTATGAGTAGGTCTGAGACTTCAAACAGGTTGGTACTAACATCAAATACGAAGGTGTTGTTCCACAGTAGCAGCAATAGGTCATAAACAAGATCTCAAAGTCCTTTCTAGCTTCAGCCGGGGGCCAGTGCAAGGACTTCAAAACAGGAGTAATATGAGATCTTTAATTACATCCATGGGCTGCAGCATTCTGGACATGTTGGAGTTTTCTGAGGAATCCCGCCTTGATGTTAGCCGGTTGGCTGTTCCCGTAGACTATTGTGGTATTTTGGTAGCCTAGTGGTTTAAGCGTTAGCCCCATTACAGTGTAGGGCCTGGGTTCTAGACTAATGTCATGAAACTTCTAATTCAATGTACATATCCTACCAGGTAACAATGTTCTATGAGCAACATGTTCTGTGAAAAGTCCAATATCTGCTATTGTGTGACAGGGTCAGGTGAAACTCATCCATGCTTGTTCCAACTTGATGTCATTACTCCAGAGGGGCGGTCGGGTAGCCTAGTTGTTAAAGCGTTCGCTCGTCACGCCGAAGACCCGGGTTCGATTCCCGACATGGGTACAATGTGTGAAGCCCATTTCTGGTGTCCCCCGCCGTGATATTGCTGGAATATTGCTAAAAGCGGCGTAAAACCATACTCACTCACTCACTCACTCATTACTCCAGTGTGTTTTGAAAAACATTTGCATTGAGTGCATGCTTCACTGGTTGAAAATGGTTGTATGGGATTGTTGGTTGTTTGTTTCTTTTTAAACACCGCATTTAGCAATATTCCAGCTATATGACAGCAGTCTGTAAATAATCGAGTCTGGACCAGACAATCCAGTGAATGACATCATGAGCATCGATCTATGCAATTGGGATACGATGACATGCATCAACCAAGTCTGCGAGCCAGACCACCTGATCCCGTTAGTCGCCTTTTACGGCAAGCATAGTCGCCTTTTACGGCAAGCATAGTATGGGATTGGAAAACCAGAATCTTTTTCTCAATAAGTATCTTTATATTCTCAATCCCCAATTTGAACACGATAACATTTGGCTTGGCAGGTGGCTACAGCATTCATTATGCGCCTGGTCTAATTTTAGCTCTGCGGCCACTGCAAATTGTTTTCTGAACCGCATGCCCATGACAGATGTTAGAGACTTCATACCTGATACCTCCAATACTTTCCTATCACTTGTGATTGGCTCTCAAAAATTACCTCTATACCTGCCATATGTCATTGTTGTGTTAAATGGCAAGGTCACTTTGAAGGTTTTTCACACATGAAATAACTTGTAAATAGTTTCATCGAGGAAGTATTGTATGGTATTAATCCTTCATATTTTTAACACCACCTTAGTATTGTTCTCACGTGTGATTGGATGTAATTGGAGGTCAAGGTCACTGTGAAGTACACGTCCAAAAATGTATGTGTACACAATACCTCGAACATTTAATAAATAAATTTGACCAAACTTTACATACATGATCTCAAGGCAGTTTATGGTTGAGATGGAAGGCCAATGTTATTATACTGGAAGTGCTTCCAACTGTATCGAGAACGGAAGAGGCATGGTACTTTTTGATTCAAAGTTGTGCTGCATTAGACGCATGTGAAGTCACCTGTCACCTGATGCAATAATGTCAAAATGCTTAATGATGCATGTTTCTGATGGGAAAGCTTTGAGTCATGCAGATAAAGATGGAGCTGCTTCTGTTTTGCATGTAATGCAAGCACCTTTCATAACTATTTTAAATATGCAAGCACCTTTCATAACTATTTAAGACCTGTGAAAATTCCGGGGTAGAATGGGTCTTCAGCAATCCATGCTTGCCGTAAAAGGCAACTATGCTTGTCGTAAAAGGCGACTAACGGGATCGGGTGGTCAGGCTCGCTGACTTGGTTGATGCATGTCATCGATCCCATTTGCGTGGATCGATGCTCATGATATCAATCACTGGATTGTCTGGTCCAGACTCGATTATTTACAGACCGCCATCATATAGCTGGAATATTGCTGAGTGCGGCGTTAAACAACAAACAAACAAACAAACCATAACTATTTAAAAAATTTAATACCGTACCTCTATTACATCATAGCCACAATTCCTATATTTTGGCTGTCATTGCACTATAAAATCTTCAGTGTTTTCAACAGATTACCTCTTCACTGTCAGCTATCTAATTTGTGTCATGTGGAAGATGGTATAATTACAAACCATATGCGTATGGTGGGAAATGTCACTGCTTTCCTCTGTGTGCAAAGTGGAACAAGGAAACATAATCCAAATCTACTCAGCTCTATGATGTAATAGATGTGGAACTTGTAATTATTCTGAATGATAACTACTATTTCATACACTGATCGGAAAACTGATTTCATTATATTTCTCTGCACTGAGCCAACTCAGCGGGTGGGATCAGTTGTCATGGAAGCATGAAGACTTCCTGTTTTTCAAAGCTCCATATCAGAGTGACAACTAAAGTACTCACGGAAATGGAAAAAACCTGTCTTTTCAACCTCAGATCTTAAATAAATGCAGTTAATATACAAAATATGTAAATATTCAAACATCTAAATTAGTACTAATTGGGCAGTGGCACAAATACAGCGTATCAAATGTTTTTATGCCTTTTTACACGTAAAAGTGTGTAAAAATGTGAATAAAACAGACTATTGTGAAACAGGGCATAACCAGGTGTAAGTAGATCAAGGTGACCTATGACACCTTGACGACAGGTGAGAACAGGTGCATAATGCCTATAGTCTGTTTCTGCTATGTCAATTTGGACTTAGTTTTATTTTTGAATGTTGAAAGTGCCAACAAATTACCTCCTGTAAAGTACATTTTGTATTGTTCACTGAGATCAAACTAGCAAATCCAGACTAGTACTTTTCGAGTTGATTTGTTATTTCGTATTTACAGCTACTAACACTGTGTCGATTTTTAAATTAAGAAAAACAGGTTTTTTTCATTTCCGTGAGTACTTTAATCATTGTCCAAATACAATGCAATGAACTTCTACTGAATCTCAAACAATGTAATAGTTACAATCATCGTTTAACAATATATTACGCTGCCATATGACAACGTAGAAAGATAGAACTACACAGTTACTGAAAACTTGGTTTTTGCAGTGTCGATAAAAATAAATCAATGTAATGGAGTATTTGATGCACAGAAATTACTGTGAACACTTGCAGGTCTCAAAACTTAACAGTGAATACAGTATGTAAGCTTTAGGTGTTTGTAGGTACATCATAACCAAAAATATTTTGGGGCAATATCAGCTTGAAAACAATCTGTCCTGCATCTTGGAATCTGCTTGGGAAGAGATTCAGTGAAGTTATTATTGAAGATGAGCCAAGAGATGAGCTCATCAGTGCAATTGCCATGGGAACCATTCAAGAACATCATGAGTCATGTTCACATCTGCCGCGGAGGCTCACAGATGTTTGCCGGATCAGGTAGCTCGAGTAGCTAAAAAAATAAATATATTTGTGTACCTGAATATTTTCTTTATATTAGTATAGTATAGTATTTACCAAAAACATATTAAAAGTTGTTTCGGTCTGTTGGTTTTCATAAAACATAAATGCAAATTCAGTTTAACATGTTTAATGTGCAGAATGTTTAATATTTCTACAGTGACATTAACATGTTTAAGTTTTGCAGTGGCCCAGAACAATGTAATACAATGTATACTACACAACATTTGATAGGGATAGTCTGAGTGCCCCAATGGGGATAAATCTGACTGGATGTTAGCAATGGCATATAAATAGGATGTGATTTGGGCATGTTTATTATGAAATGAAGCTTAACAAAAGTCAGGTCTAGCCCAAATCGCATCCTATTAATACAATGACATCTCCAAACAACCAGTCAGATTTACACACACACACCCCAACTCGACTCACAGAATCCCCCTATCAAATACTGAGTAGTATATTTGACCCGTTGTCATCTAACTTTCTAACAGTTAAGTGCTACATGTTTGAAGATGTCTTACCATGCTAATAAATCCAGATAAAAAGATTGGACAAAGTTAAGTAAACATATCCATATATTTTGCTAATTGCGGCTTTTGGGTCAATCGATCAAATCTGTGAACTGAAACATTAAAACAAAAGTGTGGCCTGGCCAATGTAGGCATTAAACAGTCAACACTCCGAAGAACAAATGACAGGAGAAACAACAGCTGGCTTTGTTATTATTTATTGACTAGATTCATGTCACATAGAACATACAATCTGAGACAATAACATCTGAAAGAACTACCTCACATACAAAATTATGCTCGCGCAAGAGGTGGAATTGTTGTCAACAACATGAAAGACACACCTTCAGTTTTTACCTATTGCAGCAAGAGGTAAAAAATACTCACTTAGCCAATAAAAAAGTACAACTATTAACTCAAAGTCTACATAAGAAACAGTTGTTTTGGCAATACAAAAACAGGTCAACAAGTTGCAGCACTGTCCATAATCAAGGACAGAAACATGTACAGCAAATCTAAATCAACTAAAGCTTTCATTTTTTTTCTTCAAAATTTGGTTACCGACAATCTGGATTCGTAAAAGC